ACGTTAGGTTAGCTTATCCTAGCTTAAGTTATGCTGTGTTAGGGCTAGGTTAGGGCATGTTAGGTTAGGTTAAGATTTATTGAGGGCAGTAACACAACATCCGCCTCAGAGTTACATTATAAAGTGTATCAACAATTCTTATTCAGTCCAGAGAATCAATAAGACAAGATTTACATACAGCATGAGAACAAATATTGTCTCGGGTCATACGATTGTCAATATTTCTGTCTTTCTTCAACCCGAAACACTACACAAATTGGGAAGTGCAGCCCTCTCATCCTCCCCTCTCACCCTACCCTCTCACCCTCCCCTCTCACTCTACCCTCTCACCCTCCCCTCTCATCCTCCCCTCTCACCCTACCCTCTCACCCTCCCCTCTCACTCTACCCTCTCACCCTCCCCTCTCATCCTCCCCTCTCACCCTACCCTCTCACCCTCCCCTCTCACCAATTATGGACAAGATCTACATTTAGATGTTTTTTAACTGCTGGCTCTCGCTTGACTTGTACTGAATAACTGGCTGTGGCATTTGTGTTGTTATGCATACCGGCCGCCCAGACACGGAGAGATGAGCCGCATGACGTATAATGACAACAATAAACTGGGAGGAGCAGAAACAGGAACAGAAGCAGGAACAGGAACAGGAACAGAAGCAGGAACAGGAACAGAAGCAGGAACAGGAACAGAAGCAGGAACAGGAACAGGAACAGGAGCAGGAACAGGAACAGGAACAGGAACAAGAAGCAGGAACAGGAACAAGAAGCAGGAACAGGAACAAGCAAGGAACAGGAACAGAAGCAGGAACAGGGCAAACAGGAACAGGAACAGAAACGGGAACAGGAATTGAAGCAGGAACAGAAGCAGGAACAGGAACAGAAGCAGGAACAGAAGCAGGAACAGGAACAGAAGCAGGAACAGGAACAGAAGCAGGAACAGGAACAGGAGCAGAAGCAGGAACAGGAAGAATCACCGTCAGAGACCTTGCTCTAGAAACACTCTTTCACCTGAATGACTTTGATTTCTCTTTGATGTAATAGTAGAGAGAGAGAGAGAGGGAGAGAGAGGGAGAGAGAGAGAGAGAGGGACATTTCCGTGATTGTGGAGGAATAACTTGAACCAGTTATTTATCCTCCGCTATTGTTCCGTTAGACAGCAACGCCAGATGACGCGTGGGGGGTGGAGGTGAAAATTCCAGAAATTCACGTGAATACTGTATAAGAGGAGACGATGTTGTTGTATACAGATGAGACGCCTCGATAAACATTACCCACCACACACAGACACACCTTAGATAGTGACCCTTCATTTATCCCATCCTCTCAGGCTGCCTCGTTAATGTGTTATCTTAGGCTTCTAGGCTCTCGGGAACGGGGTTTAATTTTATTGAGTGTATATTAACTCTCCTGTCTTGATTTATGGGGGAGAGAATGACGGTAAAGAATGTGATGTGACAGTGGAGACGCCTAGCTCATCACTTCACCAGTTGGGACAGATGTACGAGATAGTCACCAAGGATCCTGCCAGGGATGTTACGCCTATACCTGCATGTAAGGCCGCATGTAACTGGTTCACTTTAAAATACACGAAATATTATTAAATATATAAGAAAAATAAACTGGCTCTAATTTATAAGATAAGGTTCGTCTACAGTTGCCGGGGGGGGGACTGAGTGGTGAGGATATCCTACACGGACCATCACTACCTCACGCCACACAGAGGGGGACCCGTGCAGGCCGCAGCAGAGTGAAGCTCCCGGCCACCAACACCTTCCCCAGCACACTAGTGTGAGTCACCAACACCTTCCCCAGCACACTAGTGTGAGTCACCAACACCTTCCCCAGGAAAGTTGTGTAAATGTATTGACAAATGGCCAAAAGAGAGTTTTATTGGCTCAAGTGGACCACAAGACACGCCCGCCACAATTATGGATAATAATCAGTATACTTCCTGTCATCCGTCTCCACACCACCTGGATGGTATTTACTGTAATGTTAGTTGTTTGTGGTGAGAGTGAGACTGGTCTTACCCTGACAGTGTAGCTGTTTATCTAGCAGCGCTTATAAAACACTGTTAATGGCGGGTGGAAGTTACTTTATATGTCGTTCTCGCTCCACTAAATGTATGACGCAAACAATTACTTTTACACACTTTAAAACGCGACGTCACCATCTACAAGTGGGATAAAATCTGGTAACAATTGTAGTTAATAACCTGTAATCCACACTCAGGTGTTGAAACTCACTAATGTTTTAAGACAAGGAAACAGGAAACGTAAAGATTAGTCACCCAAGCTTATTTCAACTGCATGATCATTAACTAGACTAACCTAACCTAACCTAACCTAACCTAACCTAACCTAACCTAACACCCCGAGGTAGCAAAAGGGTATTTAAATATCAATTGAATTAAGCTCGGGGGCCTAATCTTCAGGTGGTCTGTGTTAACTATAGAGCCACCTCACGTTAATAACACCTAATGATCTCCTCTTTATTTATCATTAACATTAACTATATATTTCAGTTAGTGTTCTATGAAACAACAGACCAGTTATTATTATTATTATTATTATTATTATTATTATTATTATTATACCATGAGAGAATAGTGATTACGTGTCTATCTGTCATTACTTTTAGGAAGGGCGACGGAGGAATGGGGTCGAGGCCTATTTATCCTGCCTATGGCCACTAGTTCTATTGGGAATTTTGTATTGTGGGTCAGGCCTCATCAGGTACAGTATGTAACCCACTCCAAACTGGGCTCCTGTGACCAGACACGACCATACGTGGTGGGTGTGGTGGTCGTTTGTCACAAGATCGTGTCGCACAGGTCATCCTCCCTTCAAGTTCGACTTATAAATTGAGGCACAGCTAACACGGCCCTCGCTTGGTCATTCATGCCGGGTTACCTGATGACGACGACACTCATTTCCAGCAGACTCTCCAGGTGTTCACTGCCAACTTTCTGCTGTCTAACTGTGTGTACTGTACCTAATGCAGAGTCTTTTAATAATTTCATTGATAATTTTCTGTTTTAATGTATAAATCAACCAGGTAGTCTAATCCGTAACAAGATCACAGAGATATTCACTGTAAGAATGTTTGTGAATCCCGGGTGAGTTTGTTGTTATGCTGAGGGTATTGGCGTCTGCCCGCCGCTATAGAGGATGTATCCGTTATCAGAGAAATTGGTCACCAGGGCAGTTCGCTGGCCCGCCCTCACACTCTATGGCATTACAGTATTAGTACCCAGCCCGCGACTACGAAGCACGGCATTGTTTTAAGTCCTGTTTGCGTGTCTAAGTCCCCAGAATAACTCGAGAATGGTTTAGCGATTGTTTACCAAACTTGGTGGACTTGATGCGACAAAGACCTTGTGTTAAATTTGATGCAAATATCGTCAAAATTGACTAATGGTTGTCAAAAGTAATAGAATTTGGGGGTTAAAAAAACGATGACATAAGAAAGCTGCCAGCGAATACCTGGTAAATATTTTGAAGTTGTCATGCACGGATATTACAATGGAAAATAGGTTTTTATAGTGTATCTCATCGTGTTTTATAAGAAATTAACCTTAATTTCCGTCGCAAATGAGCCGTTATGGAGATATGATCCACTGCAGGCAAAGTGGTGTAGGGCTTTAAAGAGAGGGAAATTGTGGGGTAAAAACACGCAAAAAACTGACGAAACGAAACCTAATCAAACCTCCTAACCAGAGAAACCTAACTTGACCTAACCTAACCTAACCTCCTGGGGGAGGGGGGGGGGAGCTCCCCTCCGATGTATAAAACACTTTTCTTAACTAAGAGACGCAGGAGGATACAGTGATGCCACTTGAATAAGGAAGTGGTGCAGTATGGTGTTTGGACACTGTACACCCATACAAGATCTCTTCCCCTTGGTAAGTGTCTGTCTCTTACTGCAGTACTAAGTGTACCGCTATTCGCAATACAGACAGTCTGAGTCACACCTTGGACACTTGACTGAAGGGAGAGCACCGTCAGCCCTGAAGACGTCAACAGCAGCGGCTTCGTTCTCAAATACTTGGCTTTTTATTATGTGTTTAAAGTTGGTGATTATGTTTACGAGTACATTGTGACAGTTACCGTCTTCCTGCAAACAATCTTGTGACAGTTACCGTCTTCCTGCAAACACACTTGTGACAGTTACCGTCTTCCTGCAAATACTCTTGTGACAGTTACCGTTTTGTGACATCGTCCTGTGACAGTCATCGTCTTGTGACAGTCATCGTCTTGTGACAGTCATCGTCTAACAGGGATAGCCATCGTCTTTTAACTGGAATACTGTACTTAGGTATAACTTTGGCTCATTACCTCCTATCTCTTGTTTTCATCACCGTGTCCTGTTGGCTAATGTACTCTAGCGGCCTCCCAGCATTTCACTGTCTTTTTGGTTTTCCTGTGAGTTCATCCCTTGGGTGTAAGTGTTGGGTGAGTGACGTCAGTTTAATAGTAGGATAAATGAAAATGGCCTTAAAATTGGTTTTATGTATTAAGAGAGACAGGGAGGGACATTGGTAACAAGATAATGGTGTAACTATAGCTCCACAGACCTTGGAAACATGACCATCCAGTGTAAACAAAGTATAAAACTAGAAAAGTATCCCTCTTCAATTTAATTAATCTGATCATTATGTCGATTTCATGATTATTTCAACTCCCCCACAACAACCAAGTTAAAAATCGTAGTTCCCCATTGGCATCTCAAGTAAAAGCGAAACTGAGAAGATAAACTACTGAAGGTCACGCTTAGATTTCAACGACCACCTGTAAACACTACAACAAAAAACCAGCCGGCAAAGTTGATCTGGCGGGAGAAGGCTCGTTTGTTTTGGCGGGAGAAGGCTCGTTTGTTTTGGCGGGAAAAGTGGGAGGAGTCAAGTAATATATGGGTGGAGTGTGTTGCTGGGAGGGCGGAGCGTTGGGGCGGCGGTAGGCGGAGCTTGAGGTAACAATTTGGACAGAACTGGACCACCGACAGACTTAAATCTCCACACTGTGGTGACGAGGCAACCGGTGTACTGTTCAGCTTGTGTTTGTACCGTTAACAGTTCTCTGTCTTCCCCAGCGCTGTCAACACCTACAGCGACCACACTGCCCAAGAGTCTCAAGGACAACGTATCCGTAAAGACTTCGAAGAACACTATAAGTGTGATGAGGCCACACGTGATATTGATGACAGCCTTAGCTTGTCTCCTGTACATGACGGAGGCGGTGCAAGAAGAAAATGGCTTCTCCTTTAACACCAATACTGGTATGAGCTGGTTGAAGGAACTTACTTCAGATGGCAGTCACGCTCACTCACGCAAGAAGCGCGCCATCGGTCTTCCCCCAGGATCCAACGTTGAGGTAAACGACAGTCGTTTCTTTGCAGTGCATGACTTAACATATTTTACTCTACACATCATCAGGAAGTTTAGCGGTGTAAACTGAGTGCTGGTAACAATCCCTGAGAACGTAAACTGGTGTGATACTGTTACTCTATAACTGATAACTTGTTTTAAGGTGTCTGAGGGATGGCGACCATGGCCCACCACTCTAAATATTTATGGGACTGTGTTGACTTATCACCTCCCTATTTTAACTACCCTCAACTTTACACATGGTATCTATCATTACCCATCGTCTCATATAGCCAGAGTATCTTATCTTAAGGTGTACTCTACCATAAAGATATATAAAACCACCAATTCCCACTGAGATATTATCGTCACTCAACTAGCATCTCAGATATTATTTTAAGCTGTACATGACGTGATGCCGAGTACTGTAAGATTTTGTCCGAGGGTAAATTTTCTTGTGGCGTACATCAGTTACCCAGGACAAGTTTTACTCCATACATACATACACACATACGGAGAGGTGTAAGAGGCCAACGAGTATGACAAAACATCAAAATAACAAGAAGATCAAATTAACGATAGAGTTGTGTGGTGACCTGTGCCCTCTTGTGGGCGAGGGCAATATAAACGTAAAGACTTGTACGTGAGCTCAATACTGTGGGTTATTGAACTGTCCTTGAACACCATGGTAAATAAACTTTTATACGTACGTAATTGAACTGTTACGAGGCTTCTCTCTAACTGAACCTTCTTACATCAACAAATTTGAACAAAAGTTATTAGTTCATTCCCCAGTGTTCCATAGGAGACAGCTAAAAGATCCATCGTAAACAAAATAAACTAGTTCCTAAACCTGTCGTCAGAGGGCAGTGTCAAGGCGATAACCGTCCGGGGTGGAATAATATCAATAATTAGGCAGCATTCCGTGGGGGGGGGGTCAGTAATTCGTGTTTCATCGACTACTTTATAGAAATGACCTTAATATAGCAGGTCGAGGGGATGCACAAAGTGATTTTATATATACCAAATATGGACCTTTTGTCTATTTATTAGATAATAAGATCTTATATAGCCTACTTCCTAGATAATTAGACGTATTTATACTGCCGCCAATGACCGCTCTTACATTAGATATTCACCATAACGGGACTGCACGAAAGGCCACCATCTTACATGCTGATGCCCACATAACGGACAGCTCACAGCAACTCTACAATACTGATAACTTTCACATGAACAAGGAGGCAGTTGTCCTGTTTACTACAGTGACGTAAACAAATTTCCTCTTCCATTATAAAATTGTTTCATGCGTTTCTGTCATCGTTTTGTTTATAACCACCGTTCACGGGTAGAAAATAATAAGAAAAAACTAGATTTAGTTATGTAAAGTGAGAGAGAAAGAGAGAGAGAGAGATGCAGGTTTTGTGGTAGAGCTGTGACTATCATGCTACTGCTGCTGCTGCTTGATCCTCGCGTTACCTAAGCTGTCCAGGGTAGTGTGTTTGTATTAGTTTTGTTTATTTTTATGTTTGTTTTGTTTTTTTCTTGTGTTTATAATTTTACCTTGCGAAGTAAATGGTAAAACACAGCTTGAAGTGGATTTCATTAACGATTATTTTAAGGCTGCATTTACACCAAGCCAGTCAAGTCAAGTCAAGTCACGTCAAGTCATGACTCATCGTGAATCGCCACTCTAATGCACATTTACTCCAATGTATATTCTCAGAAACCATTCCCACCAGATGAGTCAAGTCAAGTCAAGTCACGTCGTATCGTGTCACGTCAAGTCACAGAAGGGGTTGGGCCCATTTTCTTCATCAGTCACGCCGAGTCCGCAGTGGTGTGTACATCATGCAGGTTGACGTCCTGATAAATTTAGTTCGAGAGCGTCCTTCTATATATGATGCCACTGATCGTAGCCACCGGGATCGTGATGTAAAGACCCAGTCAAGTCTACCAGCTTTATGAAGTTTTCAACTGTCATCCTAAAGAAATTGTAGAATTTGTCTTGGTATGGTTCACCAAGTTTGGGAATAAATGACTGAAGCTTCCAAAATTGGGTCTTTTGGTGTTGAGTTCATGCATCCAGATTCGGGTCCTCCTCTTGCGTTTACGACGCCGAATCCACAACAAAACAGCTAATTCAGTGAGAAAATATGAGTCCATCCTCCTCGAAATCAGTCTGGGTACTGAGTCCTGATTGACTCAGGTTGACTCAGTCGGTGTGAACGGCAATGAGTCAAGTCAAGTCAAGTCAAATGACTTGATTGACTTGACTTGACTTGATTGGCTTGGTGTAAATGCAGCCTAAGTGCGGGTCATTTTAGGGTCTGCCCAATGCTTGTCCAGTCGTCTCACCAGAAGCAGCCTGAGTAGCGTCTAATTTCCTTGTTGTTTGTTTGTGTGTCTGTGAGCTGATGTGTGTTTGTATGTTATTGTAATGTACATGTATGTGTGTGTATGTTCATGTTTTTATATGTACATAAGTGTATTGGTGTTTTTAGGATAAAGTAAATAAGTAAAATTGTTGTATGTGGTTTATGTGTGTGTGATGCGACAGGAATTAGGGATCACCTGAAGATTAGACACCCCCAGCTAATTCACCTGAAGATTACCTACCCTAACCTGGTCTGAGTTACCTAACCCTCTTTCCCCAGGTAACATTATGGTGCTTAATGAACAGGTGAGCCCCAGGTGCACAGGTAAGCTTACAGTGGTGTTTAGAGAGATTTGTGATGGCTGGCTTCTGGTCGACCATCAAGAGAATTAAACATTATATTATTTTTTTATTAGTTTCCGTGATGTTGAGAAGTGACGTCAGAGGTGTACGGGGATATGAGTGGGCTGAGTGGGAGCATGGCTTTAGGTTATGTTTTGGTGGTGTGAGTGGGAATTGGTTAAGGACAAGCAAGGTGACCCAAGCATTGTGTAGTGATTTTGAAGGTTGACTTAATCTGTGTTGTAGTGCTAATAGGAAAAGTAAGTAGAGTGTAGTCTATCTACATCCCAACTACTGCTGTTTTTATGGTGTATATAGAAGGAATAGGACAGTCGTAATGTAGTTTAGTCACCAACAGGCAGTAAAATATGGTCTTTTTTCCACAGGTAAAATGGTCGATTAGCTTCCCCTTCGACACATTTACCTTCTATAAAGCCAAGCTCCAATTCGCCTTACCTATCAAGATCCCCTTCCCAGCTGCTCTCATTGTAGGGGGCAAAGAAGGCAGGCGTTCCGACACTCTCGACTATAACAACATTGAGTTTGTGGAGGAGCAACAGGGGGCGCCTCAGTGGTACCAACCCGAGGAGGTAAGCCAACAAGAATGGCACTCCCGAACCAAACGTGCGGCCCGTCAGGAGAGAGCATCTGTTTATACCTATTTGGAGGCTCTGTTCGACAAGTAAGTAGTGTTATGTTCACGTCCATGTTGTCAGCTGTGTGTTCTCCTCATGTTGTCAGCTGTGTGTTCTCCTCATGTTGTCAGCTGTGTGTTCTCCTCATGTTGTCAGCTGTGTTGATGATGTTCACAGAATATGAACATTATCGTAATAGGAAACCAATGTTGATTTACGTGACATCAACTGGACACTGGAATTCAAGAGAGGAGTTTTTATGGTATATGAGAAGTGTTATGCAGCTAATGACTCATCTTCCTCCACTACCTGTTGATGTCCACATGTCAATAGTGATATTTAACTCTTGTCAGATACCCCGATAAAAGTCAAACCTTTCCTGTCTACAAGATGAATATATTTTTACTGGTGGATAATGAGTTGTAGATTATCACGTAGGAACTCAACCATTGTCTTTTACTTTTATACACACACACATATTGAGTTTACCCAGCAGACTGATGATGCGACATGCCTTTTAACTAACCCGTTTAAGCTAGGACATAGTTGATGAATAGAATGATATTAGTCTTGTTTTAAAACTCGTCATCAAGATAATTAATGTAGATTATGTTTTGGAAAAGATTCTCTACCTTATGTATGTTTAAATTGTGTTAAGTGAACATATCTATTTAATCCGTTGAATCTTGGGGGGTTAGATCATCGTCCTCAAAGGGTTAAACCATTGTTCTCAAAGGGTTAAATCATCGTCCTCAAAGGGTTAAATCATTGTTCTCAAAGGGTTAAATCATTGTTTTCAAAGGGTTAAATCATCGTCCTCAAAGGGTTAAATCATCGTCCTCAAAGGGTTAAATCATTGTTCTTAAAGGGTTAAATCATCGTCCTCAAAGGGTTAAATCATCGTCCTCAAAGGGTTAAATCATCGTCATCAAAGGGTTAAGGTTAAAGTTAAAGTCAGTGTAGTTTTGATGCAATTTTTAGAGTTGAGTAATATGTCTTAGCTTACGTCAACTAATTGGAATATTTCTTACAGCTTCCCTTACGAGGAACATACAACTTTGGAGCCTCTGATACTAGTATGTGTTGTCCTCCCCCACAGGGCTGGTGAGGATGGTCGGAGCTGTCTGTTGAGAACCATCTGTGACGTGGCCGAGGCTCCCTTCGACCAGGGACTACTAGGGGAGATGCTCAACACCCTTCTCACGTGAGTACTGGCCGGGGTGTACCGGGACGTGGTTGGGGTGTACCGGGACGTGGCTGGGGTGTACCGGGACGTGGCTGGGGTGTACCGGGAAGTGGTTGGGGTGTACGGGGACGTGGCTGGGGTGTGCGGGGACGTGGGTTGGGGTGTGCAGGGACGTGGCTGGGGTGTGCAGGGACGTGGCTGGGGTGTGGACGTGGCTGGGGTGTGCAGGGGACGTGGCTGGGGTGTACAGGGACGTGGCGTGGCTGGGGTGTACCGGGACGTGGCTGGGGTGTACAGGGACGTGGCTGGGGTGTGCAGGGGACGTGGCTGGGGTGTACCAGGAAGTGGTTGGGGTGTATGGGGACGTGGCTGGGGTGTGCAGGGGACGTGGCTGGGGTGTACAGGGGACGTGGCTGGGGTGTGCAGGGGACGTGGCTGGGGTGTGCAGGGACGTGGCTGGGGTGTGCAGGGGACGTGGCTGGGGTGTGGGGAAGTGGTTGGGGTGTATGGGGACGTGGCTGGGGTGTACGGGGACGTGGTTGGGGTGTGCAGGGACGTGGCTGGGGTGTGCACGTGGCTGGGGTGTGCAGGGGACGTGGCTGGGGTGTACCGGGGAAGTGGTTGGGGTGTATGGGGACGTGGGGTGGGGGACGTGGTTGGGGTGTACAGGGGACGTGGCTGGGGTGTACAGGGGACGTGGCTGGGGTGTGCAGGGGACGTGGTTGGGGTGTGCAGGGACGTGGCTGGGGTGTGCAGGGGACGTGGCTGGGGTGTACAGGGACGTGGCTGGGGTGTACCGGGAAGTGGTTGGGGTGTATGGGGACGTGGCTGGGGTGTGCAGGGGACGTGGTTGGGGTGTACAGGGACGTGGCTGGGGTGTACAGGGACGTGGCTGGGGTGTACAGGGGACGTGGCTGGGGTGTACAGGGGACGTGGCTGGGGTGTGGGGACGTGGTTGGGGTGTGGGGACGTGGCTGGGGTGTACGGGGACGTGGCTGGGGTGTACGGGGACGTGGCTGGGGTGTACGGGGACGTGGCTGGGGTGTACGGGGACGTGGTTGGAAGCATAGCTTGGTTAATGTTAAAAGTTTCTTGTTCCATACAGAGCGTCGCTGGCAGGTCGCCCAGTCAGCGGAGAGGAAAAAGAATACGACAGCTTCGTTGAGGCTGAACTCCACGGCAAACTGAACGGGAAGTGTCAAGAGCGGTACAACAAGTGCAAGACCTCGCCCTTCGACCTCCTCCCGTACGCTGTCCACACCGTCCTCTAGATCCTTGTTAACGTATGAGGCAGCGGCGTCTGTTAGCGTTGTTGGCTGGCAGCGTTGTTGTCTGGTGGCGTTGTTGGCTGGCGGCATTATTCGCTGAGAACGTTGTTGTCTGGCAATGTTGCCAGTAATGCTATCTGGCAGCGTTGTTGTGTGGCAGCATCGTCGTCTGGCAGAGGTATCCTCGTGTGCAGTGACTTACTTCATTTACATCAGCTAAACATTTGCTCATCCACACATCCCTGCTCGCCCTCACGCCCCCAACATTCATCCCGTGATCTCCACAAATATTTATGAATTGTTATGTTTGACTGTTAATTTTATTATTTATTTATGTTAGATAGTAAACATCGTGGTAGTGGAAAGGATGTGTTGTAATTTTCTAATCGTAAGTTATTTAATTACTCAAACTGTTTCTTTTATACAAAGTTCACTTTATTACTTAGTGAAATAGATGATTTGTCAAGTAAAGTACTGGACAGTATATTACCGGGCAGTTCGACTTATCTGGATGCGTCTCTCTGACGTCTACAATTTCGATCTAATCATTACCAGGATATCATACTGTTTCATACACTGTCGACCTAAAGTAAGCATCATACACTTGTTTTTTTATATTGGGCAACTGTCAAGATCACAGGTCATCAGTGAAGGTTAACCCACCTTATAATGTATCCATAATTATTAACTGATTGCTATGAAATTTTTGACACAAATGAAAGATTTTTAGTTTAGTTTAACAAATTTATTGGCAAAGCTTGTAGTACAGTTTGCCTATTCTGAGTAATTCAGTCAGGTCTTGACACTGAGGGTGGTATCACTTCTCACTGCCACGCAGGACAGAGGTTCATACACAAAGAAATACATCATATTCATTAACAGCTATATATGTATAGAGGTCAGATTCATGTGGGTAATGTCACTGTTCACTGCCATGCAGGACAGAGGTTCGTACACAAAGAAATGCATCATATTCATTGACACTATATATAGGTCAGATTCATGTGGGTAATGTCACTGTTCACTGCCACGCAGGACAGAGGTTCGTACACAAAGAAAGAAACACATCATATTCATTAGCAGTATATATACTGTAGGTCAGTGGTTCACATACATTGGAGTCATATTCTAATTGAAGACTAATCAGTGTGGGCCAGCAGCAAATTTGGGATAAACAGCAAGAATGTCCTCAAGCACCCCTGATTCAATGTAGTAAATACAAAATGACTTTACTATGTTAAGTCAACGGTTGAGAGAAATCTCCTACTCTAGCATCCAACATTGTGAAAAGTCATCCTGGACTTATTGGCAGGATATTATTTGGTGTTTTCCAGCGTCATCCACCACACTGATACTTCACTATCACCGCGTGAGTCTTACTTTATATATTGATGGTTGATGATATAAATATTTATGATTACATTTATAATGGATATTAACTTTGCACGTACACAGTCATCCTAATGATGTATTAACACTGTCTGTCCTCATTATCTTCGAAATGGAAGACATAAATGATTCATTTGTTTGTAAGTTATACAGTATTTAGGAGAGCAGTAGCCGTGTGGAGACTAGCTAGTTATCATCTGTTATCAGTACAGTATAGTCACTGTATTGTTATCTCAACATATTTTATTGTTACAGGCCAGTATGTTTTATGTAGCATACAATGTGTATTTATGTAAATTATTACTTGTATTTATTGTACGAATATTTTTTAGTTTCTTTTTTATGAAGACTTAGCAATGTATAAATGTGTGCAGAGAATATAAACATATAAAATATGTTTACATCTACTAAAATTCTGTCCAAGTTTCACTCACATCTGTTTTAACTACACCATTAATGTGCTATAATGTGCCCAGTGTACTGTATCTCATGTTTGTGTCAAAATCACCCCCCAAAAATTATTGAACTTCTTTGTATAACTGGAATTAATAATGATATTGAGAGGTTGTGTTAACAGCAGTCACCATACCACTTAGTGTTGTATAATAGTCTTATCTGCATCCTGGGACTCCTTATAGCACAGTGGAAGTTAAAATAAGTGTCATAGTCACGACGGCTCATTAGGGACAGTGTGAATACAGCATATTGACGGCAAAGTCTTTGATATGCAGGGAGGCAGCATGGTCGACACTGCAGGCAACAGATATCACTTCCCAGCCTTGAAGTCAGGTACCCATTTACAGCTGGGTGGAGAGATAATGCACCAGGATCGAACCAACTACCCCTAGGCTAGGAGACGAGTGCTATATCCACACCTCACCCTATAAGCAAAATGTATACCTAATGTTTGCCAGGGTCCCAATTTTACAGCCAGAACGTGTGTAAATGACGGCACTCCTCCTCCAATGCACTGGAACCCGTTGAGGTATTTATGATGCTCAGTATAGATATTTGATACTTTGTTTTTTTTATAGGAAAATCTAAAGTGTTAATTAACGTTCTTGTAGAGTTTGTAGACTTTAATTAAATTTGAGATACTTCCCATCAGGTAAAATGGCCTTGTAGGTTATCATACATATTTAAGGAACTGTTCATATCGTAAAGGAAGCCTGGTACAGACCCTTTACATGTGTTTATTTTGTTGCATTATGGGAGGAGATGCACTTTACATGCGATTTTAGTAAACAAGGAAAATGAACCGTTTAGGAATGGTATTTGAATATAAAATATATATCAAGACATTTTTGGTATCTAATTAATTGAATATTTTAATATAATATAATTAAATACTAGTGAATAATTTCTCTAGTCCATCTATAATAATTTTAAACTACACCTGACACGATAAAACTGATGTAAATAAGTTTAATAATCACAACAATCACATTAACAACAACATAAACATCTTATATATTAGAAAATAATGAGTTTTTGAAATCTAGTATTAAAATTTAACCCTATTGATTGTCTTTATAAGATACAATAGTACTATTTAAGTTCTTGTTATCGGAAAATTTGTTAAATAAGATCACTAACAGGTTAATTTTCGTTCCTTCAGGCAATTGATTAAATAAGTGTTTCTACTAATCCTTATGTTTGCATGGATGAAAATCACGGTACTTCAACATGGGACACCGGCCAGTAGTGTAACTTGCCACAGATAAGTTGCAGGTTGACACCTGTTTTGTCTCTGTAGGACAAAACTGTATTACATGTTAACGAATAAATAAATAAATGAATTTGTTAAATATACGTGAGCGAGTCACTGTATCCTTTCCTTTAAAATACGGAAGTGTGGTTTGTTCTAGGTGTATCAATATATCTTCCAGTCAGTATATATATATATATATATATATATATATATATATATATATATATATATATATATATATATATATATATATATATATATATATATATATATATATATATATATATATATATTGATAAAATCACAAGGAGAACTTCTAGTGTAGGATTTTGGTCCCCAATATGTTGACTGTAGCACACAAGAGAGATAAAATCACAAGGAGAACTTCTAGTGTAGGATTTTGGTCCCCAATATGTTGACTGTAGCACACAAGAGAGACTTTGGAGTGTGTTGCGGAAGTACCGCGATGTTTTTCTGGACAGCAAGGTAAAGTTAGGATGCGCTGGAATAATCAAGCATACCATCCGTCTCGTAGATGAAACTCCCATTAGGCAGCCCTTCAGACGGGTTCCCCCCCACTCAAATCCAAATGGTTAGGGACCATATCAACCAGCTGTTGGAGCAGGGGGTCATACAGAAAAAGCACTAGTCCATACGCTAGGCGTGGCTTAATAGTTGACCTCAGTCATGTAAGGCGGCGCTGGTTGCTGACCTAGACCAGAGGCATACACTGGGGAATTCGAGGGTCGGTTAGTCAGCGACAAACGGCGTTTGTAGGGGAGGAATCCACTACAAGGCTAATGAGATGGAACTCCAAGTGCAAAAAAGAGAAGAGCATTTTTCTCAAAACAATTTGTATTACAATGTAATGACAGGAAATTCCCAGAAACAAGAAATCGTTCTCTGAAGGATGTTGATTATTGATCACATGGTTGACTGCTTCTGTTTTAAGTCCAAAGGAGAAGAACCACTTTGGGAAAATTAATTTGTAAAAGTGAACTATTGAGACGTTGAGAATGTCCATAAGAACCCATTTTTTGCAGTTAACAAATATAATATATCATTTTGAATAGTTCTCACTGGCACTCGATGAGAGTTGTGATGTCAAAGACAGCTTTCTTAATCATTTTTACTTGGGGTATCACCAACCATTTTAAGCTCGCACTCTTACAGAAGTTTCAGTAAACAGGGCAGCATAAACTGGGTTGCTGCCAGAAATTAAAGATCAAGCCAAAGAAACAAATTCTAAACATAATATTGCTTTTCTACATTTCATCATCCATCAAGAGGTCCTGTGTAAGTGTTCTGCATCTAAACAATGTCCTGTTGCAAAAGTGGTCAACATCATTCCATGAAGACTGGGATTCAACCACATGCAATTTGTAACCCTGCTTGAGGAATACGAATCCCAGCGCCCAAATGCTTTATTTCAAATGAATGTAAGATGGTCTAGTTTGGAAAAAGTATAAAAAAAAAGAGTGTGAGAACTGAGGGCAGCGATTAGTTTGTTTTTGAACACCAAACAAGGAGATAAACATTGACAATTTTACATCTAAAAAAGTGTGGCCGATCAACCTGACTAAAGCTGGCACCGTGACCCGCCGTTTAAAATAATTATTACTTCAATCCAACAGTGATCAAGTAATCATACAATACAAATGACACTACACTTGTTATGCTTGGTTCTCAAATTGATGAAGCCATTGTTAACATCTCTGTGACACGCTCCCATATATAACATGGAAGTACTGTACTCCCCAACAGTGTGCAACATGTGACCAATTGTCTGACAGCAGGCTAGTGAGCTATAAGTGTCGAAGAGGTTAAAAAAAAAAGATTATTAATTAGATATAAGTGAACTACTCTCTTGACCTCATCCCCTAATTGCTTGAGGGGTCTTTAGAGTAGTCATGATTAATGTTATGTACGACTTACACGAAATCAAATTCCCAAAAGTTTTAAGCAGAGTTCACAAACAAAATTAAAAATAACATAAAATATCGAAGTTTAATCCAATTTTAAAAGGTGGAATAGTTATAATATCACTAATGAGTTAATATTTCTGTATTAAAAGAAGTATTACTCTGAACCATAACCCCGATATATGACCGCCTTGTTATGGCTGTTAAAGACCTTCATCACGGTCCAGTGTTTGTGAAGTAAATCCCAACATGTGGACGTTGGAAGGAAATGCAGCTCTCCCTAGTAAGTGTTAAGTTGTTGTCACTGTCTTATAGTATGTTGTGAAAGTGTGAAGTAAGTTAACACAAGGTAATAAAGTATATACACAGGAGTTAGTGATGGTCCTGGCAGGTGCTGTGGAGCCTCTTGAAGTATTGTTCCTGGACTCCAAGTATGACAGTTTAAGTCAACCAACAAAACCAGATTAAAAAAAAGGGTCAATTTGCACTTCCACCTCCCCATCTGTTAGAAAGTTAAAACTGTATTGTTCTAGTGTTTGTGTCTCAACCGAATGTGACCTTCATTTTCGTCGGAAATTGGCCGGGTTTTTCGAATTTTTTTCGTGAGACTTTTTCGCAAAAAATTAATCGCTAAGCGAATAAAAAATACACCAAAACACACTAGAAAAACCTAACCTAACCTGACCGAACTGACTCTCACCATATGATGGAATCACCTATTTCTTACCTTAGTTGGCCTGGAGACCAGGTTCTTGTTCGTCGTTGGATTCTGAGATTCTTACACAACGCCAACATATGTGGCCCACATATGCTGGTCTTTGCGATATTTACATTCAGTCTTGCACTTATGACACTTTACTGAGGTCGGGAGAACACCATGCGATCGAAAAAATGCTACAGTTTCTTCGTTTTTTCCCAAAAACTCGCAATCAGTTCCATATAATTTAAGTGACACTCATCGCAGACTTCCATGGTCGGAACTGAACTTGAATTTTGAAATATGAGAGACCCAAAATAAAAATCGATTTTGATTGGTCCAAAAATACTACGAATTAAACCCAAAATCATTTTAATTGGTGGAAAAAAAAACGCTTTTGATTGGTCGTGTGACGTGTATGGGAATGCATGTGCATGATGGCTTATGAAGGAGACACACAGTGTTGGAGGAGAGACAGGTGATAATGGAGGAAGATTAATGGAAGAAAATAGAGAAAATTTTGGATTTGCTTCTCCGTTAATATACATTTCCGGCAGTAATGTAATAGATGAAAATGATCTTATAACTAGATGTCTTATTAGAATATGATAAAAGATTAGTGGTAGGAAGTGGGAATGTTTAAACTCAATAATACCAAAAAAGATTACGTTAGCTTGCAAAGTGAGGTACAGTTGTTGCAAAAAGTATATTTTCTCAGATTTAATCCTGATCTCTATTTGTATATTTTCTTTCTGTTTCTTCTCTTTGTTGATTCTTATTGGATTTTAAATATATCTTTACAAATTTGCTGATCATATAATCTACTCATAACTTTAATTACTTCTATCATAACCCCTCGGGAACGTCTATATGCAAACATCGGTAGCTTCAGCCGTTTTTAGCCTCTCCTGGTAGGTTAAGCCCTTCTAAGATGGAGCCAATTTAGTTGCTCTCCTTTGGACATTTTCCAAGATCTCTATATCTTTGATCTTATATGGGGACCATATTTGATTAGCATACTCCAAATGAGGTCTAATCAATGCTGTATAAAGTGATTAGAGCATTTATTCATCTGTTACTGTGCTCAATATTTATGTATATAACAGAAAGAAAAAAATATGAATGACTAGATCCATTGTACAGTGCCAGAAATGTTTTTTTCACCATAAGCTGGTTATAGTATTGAGTGCCATTTTCACAACATTGTACGGTAGGTTCATTACAGTACTTTGGGTTTGAGACTACAGTAAACCCTCAATAACTCGGCACATATGAGGCTCTGGCCTTACCAAGTTATCCCAAATTCCGACTTATTGAGGCACTCCCCCCCCCCCACAGAAATACTGTACAACAATAACAAATTATCGACCCATATATGTGTACATGTAATTACTAAATGTAAAAAAAGTAACACTTATCAGCACTACAGGCGAAGAATGAAGCATCATAGTAGGTGACACAGATGCATGGTAGGTGACACAGAGGTATGGTAGGTGAGAGAGAGGCATGGTAGGTGACACAGAGGTATGGTAGGTGACAGAGAGGCATGGTAGGTAACACAGAGGTATGGTAGGTAACAGAGGTATGGTAGGTGACAGAGAGGCATGGTAGGTGAGAGGCATGGTAGGTGAGAGGCATGGTAGGTGAGAGAGAGGCATGGTAGGTAACGCAGAGGTATGGTAGGTGACAGTGACACAGAGGCATGGCAGGTGATGCAGGTGGGCCGGATATGCCGAGATTTTCCCAGATAATTTTATACATCTCGGCATTTCCTGAATACATTCCGAGACCATGTCCATGCCGAATTATGTGAAATTCTGAGTTATCAAATGCCGAGTTATCGAGGGCTTACTGTATACGGTAATCACTCTATGGTGATTAGGTTAAATTAGGTAGAGTATAAGGAAAATAACATATGAGGCTACGACACCAGACCGTGAAAGTAAAAGCATTATTTTTTTTATTATGACCAATGCTTAATTTCAGATTTGAACTTTGTGTAAGACATGTGATAAAATTATTAATGTACAATGTAGTACAGTACTGTAGTGTACTGTACATTGTTTTAAAGGTGAAATGTCATAGAACCAGTAGCAGCTTAATTACAGGCGCAGTATATTACTGTACATTATCATCAGTTTTTATAGAAGAGTTAATTCTACAGTACAGTATTGATATACCCTGTAACCCAATAACATCAAATACTTGTACTGTATTTATTATTTCAGATAAAGTTCACTACCTACATTGTGGGTCAACACTGTTGGTGAGCCGGAAGGAAGGTCACATTTATCTCCAGGGGGACATTTCCATCAGCCGCCAACATGCCTCCATCTTTATAATGCATCCACCCACCAACTTGGTAAGTTGATGATTTCTATTAATTGTTTGTATCTGTTTAATTTTCATCTTATCCCATTTCCAATTAAATGCTGTGATGTGTACTGACCAAGAAGCACAGATATCTGTTGTCATTTTATTTGGACATCGTGGCAAGATGTTTATTGTTCTGAGTTAGTAGGTCATTGCACCTAGATTCAGTTCCTCATTAGGGAGGCAATACATGATTGATATTTTGTGGGAGCCTCAGCCAGTACTACAGTAGTAGAGTAGCCACATCACTACCTGTACTATACTAATTGTTTATAAATACCCAACTGGCTCAAATATTCAGGCCAAAACGGAGACACTGTATACTGTGCCTTTCCTCTCTTAATATGCCTGTGGTGGGACATAGCAGCAAACTGTTAGCTCTGTTTTACATTAAAATACAAGATTTTTCATATTGACTGTTGAACATTATGTATATTTAATACAAAAAATGACTAAACCTAACATAATGTAAACAGTTATACTAAATTAACATTGAAGTAAATAACTTTATATTGCATTGTTTACTGTTTATATTAGATAATTATACAGTAGTGTAGAGTTATCCTCCTTTGTTTATTTTCATTCTGGTCGGTAAAATTCAATCATCAAAATGTTACATAAGTCTTGTAACACTTATTAGTACGCTATTGTACTTATATAATTTTATTTATTATTTTAAATCTCAAGTGTTTTATGTAAACTTTATTAAATGCCAAATGAGAACCACAAGTCCGGAGGATCAACACAAACTGAACAATACCAATCTGAGATGATTACTCTAATGCACATGTGATCGTCCAAGAGAAACTTATGTACTGTACAGCAGGCAGGCCACGAGTTACGGCCGTCCAACTTAAGATCATCCATACCTACAAACAGGATCCCAATACATTTATAATTCTTTTTTTTTTAATAAAATCCCATTTTTACATTGTTTTCATTATTCTTTATTGTTTAACATCACTTTATTTACATTATTTGTTATGAATGGGATGTAATAATATTTTTGTATGGGCAATGCTGTTCTTTAACCCAACCTAAATTATGGAATTAACACTGTTCTGACTTACCAACAAATCGGCTTATGATCAGTCCAGGAACGTATCTCTGTCGTAAGTCGGGGATGGCTTGTACAGGTGCTCCTCTACATACGAACGAGTTAAGTTCCTGAGGTTTGTTTGTAAGTCCAACTTTACTCTTGTAGATACCAAACATATTTAAAAAATGAAAGGATTATGGATATTTAGTACAGCTATACCCTTTAATACAGCCTTAAAACCTGGCTCACACTTCTCCTCCTAGGTAATGTTTGTTCTATCTGTAATTTTCTTCAAAATAATCCATTCTCATCCATATTAAACACCTGTTCTGGCAGGTAACCCCCCTCAGTGATGATGTTTGTATCTCTGAAAGTTTGTAAGTTGAACGTTCTTAAGTAGAGGAACACCTGTACTCAGAATATTGGAATATGTATTCAGAAAAATGGTCTCATGTTGCTGCAGCAAGGTTAAATGGTGCTGTTCATTCACCATAAGGATAGAAATTTGTGTAAATCTAGAGAATATTTTCGTTTGATAGGTTTTATAATTAAAATGTGATTCAGTTTCCTATAGTCAACACTGTGTCTGGCTCAATACAGTACTGCACTGTACTGGTTACTAATTGTATACCAATATCTTGGCAGATGCCTTATTCGGTGCACCCCAATTGTTGTTGTTAATAGTTAGCACTGGTTGGGACAGTATTAATAATGATGTTAATAATGGAGCAGCTAGTACTGTAACAACTTTAGTAGCACTGGCTTTAGTTTTATTGTCTGAAAAGCTTATGGTACTGGCATCATATTACATTATTAGTAAAAATAATATTAGTACTCTGTATTACCTCAGTTAACTTGAGTACAATATTGTACAAGTAGTACAGTATAGCTGATTGTATTAGTAGTTGTAATTTGAATAGTTGTAGTAGGCAAAGAGGGATTTACAGTACAGGGGAAGTGTTGAGGTGACATAATTATATACGTATATGTGAAGTATGGACACTTGATACAAGAGGAAGGGGCAGATTAGAATGATGGGCTGGAGAACAATGTGTGGGGTAAGTAGGAGAGTGAATGATGAAAAGTGAGGAGTTCTTACAAGCCTGTGGATTAATACAATACTCTCCCCATCCACTTTTCTTGTTCACAAACATCGATAACTTTTCTGGATGTTAATAGCCAATACAGTAGTGGATGGCAGTTGTTGTGTTTGATGTCAACATTTTGATGGATCTTCTTGGTCACACTCATTTCTTTGCTTCTTCTTCAGCTCTCAGGGTTCATTAGTGTATACCTGTAATATTTGCTGATCTGGTGAAACACAGTGAAGACTCGTGATTCATTTCCTCCTCACCTTGCAGGTTGGATTTTTTTTCTCCATATCCTTTCTGATTTGTATTATGTCAAGTTCTCTGAAAAGATTCCATACAACCTCCACTGTTTCTTCCTCACACTATGCAGAGGAGAAACAGGTGGAGACAAACTGTCCTGAGGGGGGCCATTTGCTTCCAAGGTGGTACAGGAAAATTTGAAATGGAATAGGATTAATCTTTCTTGACACTTGGTTCTAAATCAACAGAACCAAAGGTATGGATTTTCAGGATCATTCCTTCACATCTCTTAAAAAAATAGTGAATTCTGAGCTACTGTAGTATAACTGTCATAGAATAACAATGCTATGAGTTAATACTGTATTCCTCTTTTCCATAAACTACAGTACTGTACTGATATAACACCGGTTTTCCCAGGGCTGAGTACAGTATTACTCATTGAATAACCCCTCTGTTGTTTAAGGTTCTTGTAAGTGTTAGATTTACCAGATAACTTCATGTACTGTATAGGTAAAGTTTACACAGTTCATCTTTAATTAAATGCCCTGTCACTGAGTGATTTATTATATTCTACTAACATACAGTATGTAAGTTAACTATAAAAAGAAGATTTATAAGGATTATGTTAGCATAATTTTCATGTATTTTATCTTTTAGAAAAACATGCAGGCCTTGCCTAAGGTTATGCTAAACGATTTGGGAGCCAAGTATGGCAGCTTTGTGAATGACGGTATCCAGAGAGATGAAAAGCTACCAGATAGGGCGACAACTGAGCTTGTAAATGGTGACACGGTCAGATTCGGCATGTTTAATAGCTCGTGGAGGTAAGGCTATTGACTAATTATGTAGACTAATAAATACCCATTAATCAATTTTTTTTGTCGTGTACAGTAGATTTTCGTTATATCATGAGAGTTAGAATTGTCATGAAATAGCAATTCGCGATGCAGTTGGAAATATAGTGGACAGGATTGGAGCCCCCAAAAACACATCAGACGATTCCTTTAAGTTATTTATTTCATGCAGCCAGACTCACTACCAGATTACCTGAACACCAGGTTGACCTGTCACATCATGCCAAACATCTTGTACTCTACCCGCATGGAGAAAGTATTGCATGACTTCTCGGTGCTTTGAGGGATAGAAGTAACACTTGAGGGACACTTAGGCATCTTGAGGTGATGAGGGAACTGGCAATTGTTGCACTGGGTTGAAAGTTATGGAGAAGCAGAGCGAGTGTCCACACAGCACTACGGTTCAGCTGATACGAGTGAAGAGGTGTGGCTGGCTTTGGGTGAGAGGCTCTTGCTGCTTGTCGTCAATCGAGGTGACATAGTTCCGGTATCATCTTAGTCACTGTGTTGCATCATTTTTAGGAATGTTTGGTCTTTCTGGAAGTAGGGTTTCCATGCTTGTATACAGGTACAATAATCCAGACTGGGACATTCCATATGTGAGATTTGTACAGTTGAAGGACCATTTTCTTATCTTTGTATTGGAAGGTACGCGTTATAATTCCGAAATCTTGAATTGCTTTTCTCACTGTTGCCTTCTGTGAGTGATCTATCACAATGCCTAGATCTTTCTTCTTATTAACATATCTAGGAAAGTGTTATTAACATTGATAGGTAGGTTTGCTGGGTAATGCTTTTTCCATAACAAGCCATTAATTGGGAGTTGCTGGTCGATGGAATGTTGGCCAAATGAAGGTCAACACTGTACATGTGTTTAATTTTCCACAATGAATGTGTTACTCAGATATTTATGTCCATTTATGATAAGTAATTTTTGTTAATAGTTAAGTTAGGTTCGTGCTGTACAACTTTTTCAGTGTTTGACTGTAACAAACTTTTTGTATTCTAGGTTAGTGTATCGGCCTCTGGTAGTGACGACATCAACTCTTCGTCCAGAAAGCAAACCAGCATTAGCTGAAGCTCTGCTTAAGCTGGGAGGTCACTTGATCGGTGAATGGAAAGATGCATGTTCATACCTGGTCATGAATGCCGTCACACTCACAGTCAAGGCACGTCACACTCTTAACCCCTGAAGTACTGACCCCATCGGTCGATGTATGGCGTGTCCAGGTTTTGCTTTCAAATTGTGCACCTTTATTTTGCTGGGAATAGATGATTTGTGGTAACTTTAGGCCTCTCCACTGTCTTCCTGGGGTACCTCTCTCCCACATTCTCCCTCAGTAATTTCTTGACTGGAATGCTGTGTAGACATTGCTCCACCTCCTGCCTCCCCTGACCCCTCCTCACTACCTGCCACTTGTCCCCCCATCTCCCCTGACCTCTTCTCACATCTCTCCATCTCGTCTCCTCTTTCACCAGAATTATACTATACATTTTTATGTTATTTTTGTGTTTTCCATCCATCTACACGTCATATTTTTTACCATTGGGGTGATACTGGGGTGAACTGGTCCACTGCTGCTGGCATGTACAGGAATTTTTATTATACTTACAAACTCTAGAAACCATTTTACATGCACCATTTTATATTAAAGGATAAGTCCAAAAATTACCTAATATTTTTTTCTAATATTTTTGTTATTTTGGGGGTTATGAGAAAGAGTGATGTCATCCATCTCTGACGGTCCACTACGTAGGTGGCCCATATAGGACTTTGTCTTGCATTTCCACACTCCATAAACTATTCCCTACAAATTCATAACACCAAAAATTAAAAAAAAATATATATATATATATATTTTTTGCCTATTTTAGGGCTTAATCATATTTCCCAATAGTATTTAAGTTATAAACTATTCTAACACAAGCTGGGTCTCATCAACATTAGCTTCCAACATCCATAAATACTAAAATGATAAAAACAAAACTCCCAGAACAATAAAACCACAAATATTAGCCGCCAACGTGTGAATAAATATATTCTCCCCTACAAGAACATCTTGACATCAGGGACACAAAGTTTGTCAACTGCATACAACACCTCAATCTTCCCTGCAACTTTATATTGGACTACCCCACAAAGACTCAAGAAACATAACATAGCACAATTATACCCCCATTTTCTAAACATTATTCCACTTAGCAACCTCCTTCTTCTGGAGCTGAGTGATGTTTATATTTTGTGCTGCTTGAAAGCAGTTCATATTTTCATATTTTGTATTGCTAAACATTATGTTCACTAATTTCTTTACAGAATATTTAACTTCGCTTGTGACTAGTGTTATTATATCAGTGCAGAATACTGTATGTATATGCTGAAAGTGAAAACTATGTTTTGTCTTGAATATCAGTGTTGTTTTAAAAAAAATTCTGACAATAAATAATATAGTCCTGCATTTCTGATTTTGCATTCAGTTCTGTGGAATGCAGTGCTGACTTATGTTGTCTGAGTACCTGCGGCCGATCGCTGATTACTTGCACCATTAAGTGGCCGACTAGTGTATAAAGGTTGCCGACCCCTGATCTAGAGACAAACTGAATGCACCTCTATGTATCATCTATCCTCACACCAAAAACCACATTTCCTAGAGAAGAGAAACTACATCTTGATTGACTTTGCTGTGGTCATATCCTTTCCTAAACTATGAACACAATTTCCAATTTACCTAAAATCCACTCTGTTCACAAAGCATTGCTGCCCCTCACACCAACTCACTACATGACCTACATGTATCTAACACAAAGGGTCTCTCAAAATAACTGACACAAAAGATCTCTGTAAGTTATCAGTAGTTTTTAGTGATTACTTGATGTTCAGCACTAATGTATCAGATGATCAGTGTTAGAGTATAATAAATGTGTCAAGATGACCAGTATAAAAATATTTGGATGAATCAGTGTGTCAGAATCAAATGAAGTTAATGTCATAGAAATGTAGCATTAAAATAAATTGAATTTTAGATGATGTGTCAAAATAGGTTGAGGTATCTGATAATCACCAGAAAAACAGTTAGCATGACAGGTAGCCTTGATGATATTATTGATATAAGAAATGTAATCATTACCTAATTTTAAGTCCAATAGTTTATTACAGGTTGTGTGTTGTCTAGCTGCCGGAGGTCACATAGTAACACCTGAGTTTTTTACCGAGTGGCTGGAGGCTGTGGTGAAAAAAGCTCCTCATCCAAATCCTGGTGATTTTCAGCCTCCACTACAGGTTTGTGTTGTCTTAGAAGTATAGTAATGTAAGTGTAAGGTACATTAGATCTCTGATTTAACTCAAATTGATACAACAATTTTGATTCAGTGTGACACCCTAAATTACTCTAATTTTTTAAATTTAAGTGCGGTCAAGTGTGATATTATGTGGTGTTAGCTCAGATCGGTAATAAAACTATAAAAATCAAACAAAATACACATATGTAAATGTCAAAAATGGTGTAAAACTTATGGAAATGTTGAGGTTTACTTCAAATGAAGGTTTTGAAAACAAAAATAAGGGATAAAAAATCAGACAGAAACAGGTGAAAATGTCAGAACAATTATTATACATAAGTGATATCCACAGCTTGTTTACCCTTTTCAAAGTGCCAAACACATTTCACATCAAAACTAACACTTCCTCTGTCTCTTCTGCACATGGAAACTTCCTATTGTTTATGTGTGTTCTGTTTAAAGTTTCTGTTCTCATATTTCACATATCCTGTCATTAAGGTGTGTGAGTAAGCTGTATAGATTCTTGGCATGGTGTAGAGTTGTCCTTGTATTGAGGTGTTCTTGTGGTGGGTCTGTTTGGGTGAAATAGATATCTTAAAGAATTAATTGATGTATATTTTTAGGCTGCAGTTCTGTATCCTATATTTCCTATAAAAATACAGTACATAGAACAGCAGATTCAGTACTGTATTAATATTAAATGTGGCATGCTATAGCTATTGAGTTTGATACCCCTGATCTAGAATGTACCTGAACATGTGCCAGTGTTGGTCAAGTCTGGTCTTAAGGAGCTCACACTTGGTGCTATCACAACATTTTCTGGCAGATTTGTACAATAGTTCCCAATCCTTATTCCAAAGAAGTTAGCTCTGGCAGTTTTTTTATATTTGTGGGTTCTTTAACTTGAGGCTGTGATGTTCATTGTAAGAAGATCGTGAAATATGTTTTTATTGTTTTGTCTCTTAGGGAAGCATTAAACTCTTTTAAAATTTTAATTGAATAACTTTTTATAAGGTTTAATATCACCTGAAGACTGATCGGCTAACAAAAACCGAAAGTTTCCTCTGCTCCTGGTAGATGGCAGGACTAGTAAGGACTGGCCAGCACCTACACAGTTCACTCACAAGTCATGATGCTCTTAATTTCATTTGTTCCATCAGTCACCTTGAGTCTAAACAATTGTAGTCCTGGAAGCAATTGTTCAGATTCAATATGAGCTACTGTAAAATTTGTTAAAAAGTGTTCTGAAATGATGGTATAAATGTTAATGTGAGAAAAAGTGATGTCTTGAAGGATTTTGTTTGGCTGCAGTCCTGCATCCTATATTTCCTTTTGAAAATCATAGAGCAATATTGCAATTTGCTTCCGAGTCCTATTCTTGGGACTTTTATATCGAGGAGCTACTGTAGCGGTATATGTAGAAGTGCGAAATGAGAATGGTTTTGCATGAAACAGCTTGTAATAATGTTTGTTATCTGTGTCTGCTGTAACATGTATATATGGTTAGTGTTTTTCATCAGCAGAAAGGCCTCAAGATATCCCTGTGTATTCTTGTCACTTCATACAAACTAGCATTGCCCGTCATCATCATCATCGTTTAGCTGCCATTTTCCTCATTTGCATGGGTTAGCCTCGGTTACCCAATGGCAGCTCTCCATGCTGCATGGTCTATATCAGTCTCTCTTATTAGGTTCATAACTAATGTAATTTCATACAGCCTCTCCCCATGTCATTCTTGGCCTACCCCTGGCCCTCCCTCTATCCACATTTAGTCTCATGCACCTCTTGATCCAAATGGTCTCATTCGTTCTCTCCACATTACCCAAACCATCTCAGCCTGTCTCTACACAGGACTTTGCCAATGCTCTTCATACCCAGCCACCCTCTCAGCTCTGAACAGGGCCTCAGTGTCACATTACTGGTACATATCCACTTCACTATCTTTTCATTTCAGTCACCTTATATCATCATCTTTAACTGCCATAGAACATCACACTTCTCACAGCCACGTACATTCTTCCTTTCACTCGGAGGGAAGGTTCTCTTTCCGTCAATAAAGGCAGCAGCTCCCTAAACTTTCACCCTTTTCTGACTCTTGCAAATGAGCAGGCTTCAGCACCCCCACTGGCACTGATAATGTCACCTATGTAACAGAACTCATTGACATAGTCCAGGGACATATCCCCAATATTGAGTTTCTCCAGTCTTGCTGTGGGCACATGATTAACTGCACATAGAGAAAACTTAAAGTCAGCAAAACCCCATCGTCTGCCATTTGCTCCACAGCACATTTTCTGCATCCACTTTCCACACTCATTGTACGCTATTGAGTTGCTGCCAACACCTTTCTTGGAGACAGCACATTCCATTCCTTATAGCATTTGGTGCCTTGCTTTTACTCATTCTTGTATATCTCTTCCTCCTTGGTGTCCATCCCCTTCCAATTCAGTGCATCTCTTACTGTATAACATGCCTGTACTGTGTTGGTTCTTTTTCAGGAGAGGAGCATCAGAAGTGCAAAGGTTTCTTTAGCTCCTAATAATGAGAGGAAGTCATTGTTGAGAGGGCGTACATTTCTATTTTATTCTACAAGACAGCTTGAAAGAATGAGACAAGTCATAGTTCTTTCAGGTGGGTATATTCATATTTTTTTAAGACTGCTCTAGATATTGACATGTAGTAGATATTTTTAATACTTACATATTTGACAAATTATTGAAGATGTAACTTGAATACCAAGATGCTTTCTTTGTTTCCAGTGACTATATGTTTATATATATCAGCTGAGCAATAGCCATCCATTGTATAAATTGTCTGATTTTCTGTATTGACTAAATATATATTATATACCTAATTTACGGTATAATTAATCACGTCATTGGGGTTAATTTGTTGTTGCAGGTGGCAGTGCAGAAGAGTTAAATGAAGTAAATTACAAAATGGTGACCTCTAGTAGTTATGTCTTGGTGGAGCCACCTATGAAAACCCCAGGAAGCTCTCAGAACATTACTACCTACACCACTGCACGTAGTAAGTAAGGGTAACAAGGCTTACCTTATTTTACTAAATGAATAACACCAGTACAGGTATGCATGTACTCTTATACATTCTCTACATACAATACCTTGGAGACATTTGTTACTCATACTACGCTGGGATGATTATTGTAGTATCTTAATTTTTTATACTGTACTCACTATTTTGAGAAAATGTTAGGAACTCGAGAGATATACTTGTTGATGATCACAGGCTCTCACCAGTGTTACTGTACAGTGGTAGCACACTTGCCTCTCACCACTGCATCCAGGGTGTAATCCAGTGTGACCCAGGTAAACATGCGAGGGTTTCTCCTGGTCATCTGGTTTCTTCCTGTACTAACACTACACCTGTGAGTGATGAAGGGCAAACTCGAATGAAACTATGGTGGGAATAACAAGCCATGGCTTCCTTCTCTTATTAAAGTGGTATATTAAAGATACAATTAAAAATGTCTAAATTATATAACATAAGAACATAAGAAAATAAGGAGTCTGCAATAGGCCAGTTGGCCTGTGCATGGCAGCTCTTGTCGAGAGTTACTACCACTCTCTATCATCCATGAATCTATCTAGCCTCCTTTTGAAACTCTCCAGCGTTCCAGCACTTACTACAAAGTTGCTAAGTTTGTTCCACTCGTCCACCACCCTATTTGTGAACCAGTTTCTTCCTATCTCCCTCCTAAACCTAAACTTATCCAACTTAAATCCGTTGCTCCGAGTCCTATCCTGCTCGGGTATTATAAGAACTTTATCTATATCCCCTTTATTGATTCCTTTCACCCACTTAAATACTTCTATCATATCTCCCCGCACTCTTTGTCTTTCTAGGGAATGCAAGTTTAGTTTCTTTAACCTTTCTTGATATGGAAGGTTTGAAAGTCCCTGAATCATTTTCGTCATTCTTTGCTGCACCGACGTCAGCTACACCACCAAATTCAGCATCATAAGCATCTTCAACAACAACTTCAGTTTCAGTAAAAGTTTCACCAACAACTATGACATCTTTATGGAAAGCTACAGCTTCAGCCAGAGTTGAACCTGATGACTTCGTCATCTGAGTAAAAACTCACACAACATTCATAGGCTGTCCTTATGTTTTTGACTTTACCACCATTGGTGATTAGAATTTTTGTTTTACATTTGTAAGTATTTTTTAAACCATATATGAACAGTAATAAGTGTTGCTTTCATATTCTTATGTAGAGAAATGACGATGATTTCACATGTACCCACTTACATACGTTGGCCTTCTCAATTCTTCTCGATTTTTCTTTAACCATTTGTGGTTAGCTACTTCTATTGTTCCATTTATTAACATTCAATAACGTTACTTTAAACATACATACCCTGTATAAAATTTTTTACATGGATTTTATTACAGCTACAACCAGGGTCTTATTGTCTTCAATTTCTTGAGTAGAACCATCGTCACAGGTGTAAACACTAACGAAAACAATGCCGTCTCGTCTCCTTTTGTGTGTTTTAATATTCTAGGTATTATTAATGAATTGTATTGTTCATTTTGCATATATAAACATCAATTCAATCAAATAGATATTCAATAATAAATAATAATGAATCTTTTGTACATATTCATAATAAGATAAATGACGCTGTATCCTTGAGTGCGCACATATACATTGGCATTCCACTATCAGGCTCTCACTTTTTTCTTTAAGATCGGTGGTTACTTGTATTGTACGGTACATTAAAAAACATTAATTAAAACATACATATTTTTTTACATTATTACATATTACTACAGCAACAACCAGGGTCTTATTTTCTTCAGTTTCAGATGGATAACTGACATTATGGATGTAAACACTGACAACAACAATGGCGTCCCCTTTCCTCTTGTGTGACCAAATTATTATTGATTTATATTGTATAAGGTGAATTCATAAACATTATTTAAAGAATATAGTTTACATTTTTCATTGATTTTAATGTTTTGGGGGAAAGGAGGGTAAAAAGCCACACAAAAGATATGAAAAGGTCCGACTTTGGAACGCATCTCATTATAGCTTTATTTTAATGGTAATTAATGATTCACGATACTATGACTCGCCTTATACTGCAATATTGGAGGACACTTTATCGTTGTTATTCGAGGCTTTACTGTATCATGTGCATGTACAAGTTGTAGTACTGTATGTATGAAGATGGCAGTTTATAGCAGAGTAACTTTATTCCTTTTATTTTTTAAGAGATGACTAATAATGTAAGATGGGGAGGAAAGCATCTTGAGCAATGGAGGAATTTAGACGAGACATTACACCGCTGTTTATTTTAATGTGATGTGTTGAGTATTAAGTTACTGATAATATGTCAAGATCACACAAGGTATAAAAGTCTACTGTTTCCATTTGGGGAACATCACAGAGCACTTGTTGGTATTCAGTTATAGTCACTACGTCTACATTCATTAATCTTTACACCACTTTGTTACTTTGTTTCATCCTTTCTGATGCCATGCATGCATTCTTTGTCAAATCTTTCAAGATTTATTAATTTCCCTGAATTGATGTACTGCTTATCTCAACTAACCTTTACAGAATTGGTAGAAGATAATGGGTTGCGTGTTGTACCTGAGTCAGACATTGGTTTAGCAATTCTGTATGTAACTGCAACAGGTCATTGCAATCCAGCCTTCAAGGTATCTAGCATCCTACAAAGCACAACCTCATCCACGTCACAATTTACTGAGGTTAGTTGGTGCACTGTTAAGGTGTCTGTCTTTTTCTCAGTCAATGCAGACTATATAATGCCACTGTAGCTATTCATTATAATTTGAGAGATCATTATAGTGATAAGAGGGAGAATAAGTGACATTGAGGTCTTTATATTGCTGGTACAGTACACTATAAACATGGACAAGTGAACATTTATTCAAATAGTGTTTCATGTCTTTCTCTTCTTGTGAAGTTGGTTGACACCTGTATGTCATAATATCTTATGTAACCACCATCTTGATATTGTATTTTCTTGTGCCTCTTGCCAGGGTTTGAAGATATATGCTACAGAGACACAAGCAAATGAGAATTCCATATCCTTAACGGGGACACGAGTTGTGGCTGAGAGTGGCAAATCACCTGCTTCCAGACAAATAAAATCTACACTGCCCACCTCCACCCTTCCCCCTGTCCTCAGCGGCTCCTCAACATCGACTAATGCATCCATGTTAACTATGCTTGACCAGCCACTCACGGCTAAAACTGTCAATGACGACAAAGAAAACCTTCATAATACTTCTAGGAAAAGGAAAGAATTTTTGTGTGCAAATCTATTTTAAGCATAGTGAAGACATTAGATAGACCAATTGAGACAAATACCTGAATTCACATAAGTTTGTTTGTAAAAGACACAATTATACTATTTTTCCAATGAAACCTAATGTAGAAATAACTTTTAGGGCACGACCAGTGAGTGAACAGACGGGAGGACCTCTCACCAAACGCACCAGCAAACTCAGCCTCACCCAGAAGCATCAAGACCCCCCAAGCCCCACACAGCCAATCGAATCTCAGGTAAAATTACAATCTTCTTGAAAATCTGTTTGGAGTTAATTAATTTATAATTTTCTGTTGAAGTATATCTGATTATTAAAAAAAAAAGGTCAAATATAATAATGTTAAATAACTGAGCACATTTTATAGTTTGATTTCCAGACATTAATTCATGGTCACTCAATCTTGTGACTTTCAAAAGCACATTAAATGTTAACCTTAGAATTCTTTTAGACGTTCGTTGATCCATGTATAATTCTACACCATAAATTGTATTATTTAAAGTTGTTCCATCTTAACATATATATATATGCACATACTGTATATACAGATACCTATACAGGGCACCTTCTTCACATGTGTATATAGCCCAGGGCTCTGTTCCTCACTATCTCTGAGAGTAAATACTGTATTGGTCAGTGCAGTATGTTCTTATTCATTGGTATATAACATCTTAACCCCTTCACTGCGGGGACACCAATTTTGATCATTCATTTGGGTAATGCCAGATGATTTTATTCAGCTCAAAGGGGGGTGGGGGCATACATGAGGGGATAATTATTTTATAAAGATGATAAATGTTTTTGTACATAGTGATAAACTGAAATTGTGTCGGTAATCATAAAATCCTGACTTTGCTTACTTACTTACTCACTTACCTACTTAATTACTTTCTTACTCACTTAATTACTTTTTACTTACTAACTTATAATTACAGATATTACCACAGATTACTAACAATTCATTCCCCCCCTTAAAAAAAAGAAAAAAAAAGTTGTTTCCATTCGACCTTATCGCTTAAAGTGTACAGTAGTGTCATACTGCAGATGTGTTATACTGTGATTGGGGGGCAGAGTGTTGGCTGGTTCCTGCTAAATTCAGCCCAGATGTTCAAGAAGGCCATGCCCACACTTGAAAACCACTGGGAAATTTGCGGTGTTTATGTATACGATGGTCGCAACTGCCTAGTTCAGCCTCCCTTGTGTAGACTGCGTATGAAAACAAGAAAATAAGATGGAAAAATAACATTGAAGTGGTTATGGCCAAGAATGGTAACATCAGTGAGAGAAACCTACAAGTTGATTTTTGCCTTAGTTTTCCATGGTCAATAAACCTATCTGTTTTTACCTCCTGAGATCCTCTGCAGCAGTCATATACGGGCGTCCCTCGAATTATGGAAGCGTCATGTACCCGGAAAGTTGCCTGTAATGCGAAATTCCCTAACTCTAAATACAAGCAGCTGTAGTTGAGAGAAGGCAAGATATCTGGTTAATGTTTGGGACTTTAAATGAGTACAGTACTTATTGTTCTTATTCCTCTCAAGGCATCTCATCTCTTTTCTTCAGATCTTTATTATTTCTCTCCATATTCCTTAACTATACTTAAGTCTTTTACCTCACTTAGCATCTTGGACAGCCATATTGATATCTGTGTTTGTCACCCACCACCATTTACATTGATTTAACTACAAATGTCATTCACATGTTAATACTCACACCTCATGCTTTATGTTTGAACTTAGCTCCTCATTATCAAAACCAGTAAGTTACTATATAAACATGACCTGCTCAGTTTGTAATTTGATGTAGTCATGAATGCCCATTCTTCCCCACAGATTAACGGTGATGAAATCCAACCAGATTCGGTATTGCCAACTTCAGAGTTTAGACCACATCACTTCAGTACCGAAAAAGATGAAACTCTTGCCCCTGTAACTTCGACCCCTGATGCAAGACGTGGTCAGCTAAACGGCTCAGACACCAGGGCAGCTATTACTAGCAAACCAACTACCACCATCAATAATCTGGACCCCTCTGTTGATTATACTATTAGACAATCTGTCCCATTTGTCCCTTTCACTCTGCCCAGCTTGAAGGTTGAGACATTAGATCCAGATGAAGTATTAACTCAGTCCTTCTCTGATGACAAACAAGAACCTCCCAGTGGCAAGGTTGATGATTGTGTCATGGATGTGACAGATTGTCGTGCAGGGAAGAGAAATGCAGTGAATGATGGTGACACTTCCCTTTGGAAGGGAGGAAAAAAGAAAAGAATAGAAAATGTGAATGATGGCCCCATAAAGACTGAGAGAATTAGTGGAAATGTTAGTATAGTTGGCCACTTAAATCAGAGGAATCAAGATTCTGTGTGCAATGTTAAATGGGAACTAGCAGATAAAGACCCATTTGCTTTGCCAACATCTAATACAAGAAGAAGATCAGGTGGTCAGGTGAGACTTGTATCATATCTTTGTTGTGTATGAGTGGTGAGTTGGATTTTTCACAGATAAGGGCAAAGAAAAGTTTTGATTTTTCTCTTGTCTCTCTATTTCTCTCTTTGTCTCTGTCTCTCTATCTCTCTCTTTGTGTCTGTGTCTCGGTCTCTCTGTGTCTATGTTTCTATCTCTCTCTTTGTCTCTCTCTTTCTTTAATTGATTTATTTTTATTTAGACTTAATGCCATCTCATATTGTTGGCTGTTGCTCTCTGTCAAAGAAATAATCATCACCCATATTTCCTATTTTTAGCTCAGTTGGTCTGAAAGCAGCAGGAGTTATTTAGGTAATCACTTTTAAATAATTTATCCTGGTTACTGCCTTCTTCCTTGACCACACTTTCAAGAATACAGGCAGTGCCATTTCAGAGTCCTTTTCAATAAAATCTTTTGTCATACCTCTAGCTCAGGTGACCAGTGTTGTACCATATGCACATTCCTCCCCCATTTGATATCTTGGGGGTGAACATTCTTCGAGTAAAGATCAGATCTGGACAACCATGCCATTCCATTAATTTCTTTTGTTTATTATTCTGCTTACTGTAGTTTTCCTGGTCTGTATTCTCTTTTATGTTACCTTTTATACTTAAACTAATCTAAAATTATAGTTTTCTGTGCACAGTAACTTGTTTCACTCTAGATATGGCATGTGAGTTTATAACACTTGAAAATCTGCTACAAATTTCAGATTTATTTTTTAAACTGTGATAGACTTAGAGGTTCACACGACAGTCTGCTTTCTGAAGGTTAATATTACTGATAAAGTGACCCATATTCAGACCATCCTTACATACACTACAAGATAGGCCAAAGAACACTTTTTCTCAGAATTGAAATTTAATGTGTAAAGACTAACTGAAAAGTGCTGGTATGAAGGAATTTAATGATGGTGAAGTATAATTAAAATAAAATTACACAGAGGAAGGGTGGCATAATAAGTATTAACCAGTGTCTCAATGGTCTGAAGAAAAAAGGGGGACAGTCATGGATTAGATTTCATTGGTACACTAGTTTGGGAAGAGACAGCAGTGTTATTTTTACATTACATTAGATATGGTAGTGGGCCAAATTAAAGTACAGTAAAGTATTAGAATAGCAAGATATTATTACAGTAATTAAATAATCGAAATATGGCCCTTTGTCTGAACATTTTGTAACAGTTGGTTAATAATTATGGATGTGTCCTAGTGTGAGATGATCTTAAAAGTGGGGAAAATGAATAGGCCATTGACTGGAAAAATATTTCATTGTAGTGACTTAAAAGAAAGAAGGTGAAATACAGTACTGTATGTATTTTCCAGAGTGCTGTAGTAGGAGATAAAACAAGCAGAATGACTGTGAAAAAACCATCTTCAGATGCTGATTTATTTGCCCTTCCAACATCCTCTCGGTCTCAACGCAGGAGAAGGATGCTCGAACAGAAAGTCGAACTTGCAGGAGTGCCTCGGGAAAGTGGCAGGATAGAGCCAGAGCAAACACCTGTAGCCCAAAGTAATAATGCACGTGAAACAGATGAGAATCAGTGTCAAAATAGCAGGATTGTTACAAGTCAAGGAAACTTTATATCAAAGGTAAGTTTGTCTAAATTTGCTGTTGTAAAATTGTCATGCAGGTATTCACCAGTTTATGAATTTTTGTAGGATCTCAAAGTAAGAGAGGTTACTTTCCTGGGATCCCCACGCAAATGTGAATTTGGGTATATTCAGGTCCCCCATGTATGTACTGTATACGTATAACCCATGGTCTTGTGGCAAAATATATAACCAACAAAAGAAGGGAATGCCTGGGAGATGATCGCAGAACCAGTGTGAGAGAGAGAGAGAAGGACTCCTTGACATTAATTTAACCTAAGGTACCATACAAACACCTTAAGTGTACAAACAGACACAAATATTAACCTACAGCACAGTTGCGAAAATGTGTTCCTTTTACCCCCTGTGCTAACCCGTGTCTATCTTTACAATATAAACACGTTAGTTTTCACTTTCCCCAAAAATATCAATTTATGTAAAAAATATGCCTGACCTAATACAGTACCTTAGTTTTTGGCACTTGGGGTAAAAAAAATAATTTTGTTTAAATTTCACACAAAGGTTTTACTTTACCTGCTGAGTAAGGATCTGGGATCACAATTAAAATTTTTGAGTAATTAGTGGTAATTAATGACTTGAAATAATTAATGCTATTTAAAAAGTCAATTACGCTGTGCCCGTAAGTTTTAAATCACCTTCATAAACATTTTCTTAAAAATATAGACTATGGTGTCTACTAGTCTGGAAAAGCCAGGGAATTTTACAAATAAACCTGGAATTTTATGTGAATTAGGTTCAGCTTCAAAATATTGTTATTTTGACAGCAATCTCACCATAAATTAATGATGTGCTGTATAATTGGTAAATAATTAAACTTTTAGGAACAAATTCTTGCAAATAGTTCACTCCAATAACTAAATTGTTTGTGTATGTATCATATTTCATGTTAGGGATCAAATAACCAAATATTACAGGTTATAACTACTAATTCTGTAATAAGTATTGTCGGAGATGAATTGTTCTTATAATTAAATAATTTAATATAAGTGGATTATCCCACATACTAATCATGACTCATGAGTCATATAGGTGGATCAAGAGTGTGATTTTTTTTTTGCCGGATTTCCGTTTTTTTGGAACATCCAAGTTGACCCACGTGAATTGCACAAATCTGAGGAGAAAAATATGGAGGAGGGGGTGTCAAGGTCTTTGCCGATGTTCATCATTAGGCATGGGGTCGGTCGTGAGAGGGTCTTCAATTTTTTGTTTAATATCATTTATATTACATTTAAATTTGTCAATAGTACAGTATACATATAATTGAAAACCTCTAATTTTGTTATTCTGTCGTAATAAATACCGAATTAATGTATTGTACCTAGAATTTTTCAAATTTACACCTGGAAAAGCCAGGGAATTTTGTTTTGTCTGGCCAGTAGACACCCTGTAGCATCACTATGAATGAATGGGGATTGGTTGTGTAACGATGGACGTGATTGGTGGATAGGTTTGCTATAGGTTGGCCACTTGGAGACTGGGGTTACTATAAGGGGTGTATGAACACATTTCTGCAACTGTACCATATGAAGTACTTTAAATTTAGAAACACACTCAAACCATAAAATACACATTTGTACATTTTCACAGTACATGTGTACACTCACTGTTACATTTACATACTACACTGAAGTATACAATACACTTAAATTTATATTTAATCTGTCTTATATATTATAGCAGTCTGTGAACACACAGTGGAGCACAATGTAGTTGTTGTTTACAATGCGGACCGTGTATTGGAACTGAGGGGCTGGCGTGGCTTCTCGGACTTTCTGGTTATCAGAATGTATTTCGGGATTATTGGACTTCAGTTTTAACAGACTTTTTGCTTTAGCGACCATGGTATCCCCCTAATTATTTAATTATCTCAAGGCTTTGCTGTATATTTAACTGGCACTATTTGAATTTCTCAGAAACTTAAATTTTTCTGACCCTTTTTCTCCTAGTTGGTTTTGAGTTATTAAGGTTAACTGTCCAATAAAACCCCCCAGAATTCAAAATAATTGGGACTCTAGCCCTTACAAATTATAAGATTTTACAAAATATGAGGGACACCTGCTCCCAAGGGGGAAAACCCCCAAAACAACGGAACTTTAACATTATCTGCCCCAATCAAATTTTAAACCCTATCTTGAATGTTTAAGGTCTTGTATTTACCTCTTGACTTCACATCTTTCTTGTTAGAAACTCCTTTTGAGGTCCATGGTTATCATTGATAACTCGGATAACTTATCAGACATGATGGTTCAAGCACTGGGCAATGATGGAAAAAGTTTGCACAGTACACCGTAGAAGTGCTCTCCATGACTGACCAACGTGAACTAACCCTAACCAACAGGTCCGATAAGCATATACTTGTTGACACTTAGGCAGGCAGTCGCATCCCATGGCGATACAGTACATGTATATGTCATACATACAACTATTCATAAATATCTCTCATAATCCAAAATTTTACCAAATACAGTATACTGTACAGTATTATGAAAATTGTAATTCTGTATACGTACTAGTATACATATATTGTAATATTTTAAAATGTCTCATATTTCAAAATTTTACTCAATACTGTATTATGAAATTTGTATTATATATTTCATGACAGAAAAACATTACGAGTTATGAGTGATTTCCAGTTTGAGGGATATGAATTGTGGGGTCTTACTGTAGTAATATTTCCATTTTTATGGAATATCCTAATTTTTGTATTTTAGTGGTGATCTTTGTGTATTATTTTCACTCTCCTAATTCATTACAGAAAGGGTGTTCCATAAAGAGAAGTCCAAGTGAATTAGAGGCAGCTGCCCAAACTGGTGTGCCCCCTCAAGAGAAGGCCACACATGGAGATGTTGCAGAACTCGATATCAAGATGGAGAAATCTTTGGTGATTGTAGAGGTTGCCTCCCTTGTGAAACGACCTTCTGTAAATAACACAACTAATGCTCAAACTCTTCAAAATCAAAGTCTTGGTGGCCTTGTAAACTACAAAAGGTTCAGAAAGGTTTGTATAACACTGTTTATTAGTTATTTTTATGGAAATTTTGGGCGGTAGCTTAGAAATGGAAATATGTTTTGTGTGAAAAATAATTGTGGTATAAGTGAATAATTAGAAATAACTTTGGCTGTGTGCCGGGCTTGGGGTGTGTCATATCCTTTTCTTGGTTATTTATGTCTATGGAGAGAGCAATAGGAGTAAGAGTGGGTGACTACAGAATGCAGTACTGTACCGTACTGTACTGTATATCATAGACATGGCGACACAGTGGTGTCATGGGGGCATCACGTGGCCTGGTGTCACAGGACCTCACACACTCAAGTGGTGCACAGTCAGGTGTGGTCCCAGGCCTCCCTATCATGGACGGATTAACACATCGCTGCTTGTTGTTGGGTCTCGTGGGCAGTTATCATTGGGTACCTGGGTCCTCACTGTGTGAAGGTTAACTTGGGTATGACTCAGCTGTTACTGTTGTGTTGTTCTCACTGACTTAAGCACTGTTCAACACTGGTTCCATTCCTTAACGAAATTAAATAGTAACTTCTGGTGAGAACTTGGTGATATTCCGGTGGGAAGGAGGGGTTCAGGGAGGGAGTTGGGGTGTGTGCCAACATAACAGTTGACCTGGCCGTTGCCAGAGCAGCGCCAGACACATCTTGACCCTTTGGTGGTCAAGGATGTGTGTGTGTGTGTGTGTGTTTGTAATTGAGGAGTTACCTTAAGAAGGGGCTTGATTAGCAAAATAACTTTTTGATATATTGTGCATTAAAGTTGCCACACCCAGAAACATTCACCTTGCCAGTTTTTGTATGCACACTCGCACCACTTAAGCACTAATATGGTATTATTTATTTATTGTGTGATCATGTTTAAGTGATATAGAATGTATTCTGTCATATTAACCAATAATAAAAAAATAAAAGACAAACAGTTCCTGCTCAGCCATTTATCTGTCAATAAGGCATCAGGAATTTGATGTCATAATAACTCATCTGGGGTGAGTGTGTGTTTTTTATTGGGGGAAAAGTGAGTAATTTACAATAAAAATTTCATTAACCTGACACCAAATGAACCTAGAAAATGTGAGAATTATGATGAAATTGTATACTATCGTTTTAAGGGAGTCACAAGACCAGAGGGGTAATTTTTCACTCAGTCCAGCCAACAACACCTTTCATACCTTCTCTACTACACACAATTTACTTCCCACTCTTCATTTTTCGTATTATATAGTTTCATAATATAGTTTCTTTATTTTTAAGTCACATTAGAGCATTGTCTTACAGTGCTATATTTGAGATAATTTAGGAGGGGCTTAGTAGAGGGCTCGGTTTACCTGTATAGTGAACTTGTTCAGAATAGAGACACATGTACTGCTGGAATCTTATGAGTGGTTTGGTATAGACAGGTAATACTGTAATTATATTAATACTATGGTAATATTTATACACTGCTGTACCCTTTGTTTGCAATTATGTGAGGAAAGTGTAGAAGCATTATCAGTTATAATTGGAGAGTTTTACTCTCAAATAACTACACTGAATCACATAAAAATCTGGGTGCAGTAACCCACATCTGCAGCTCACTGACAGAGGCATGATACTGATAGGCAGCGCTACTACATTGCAGTTCAGCCATGAGTGGATTGGTTGAGATGGGGTGTGTGCGAAAAAGCAGTACACTAATTGTTTGTGCGGGTAAAACCTTTGTCCCTTCTAACGCCATTGTTTTGGTTCATGCACTTTCCATTAGGCTATGGAAACATCCCACCCATTATCACCGTTCAGCTTTGGGCATATGTTGGGATGTCATTCGATGCAATAATTTGGCAGAGAAAACGGTTATACTCATATGTCAATACAGTACTATATATGCTGATAACCACAAAGGAAAAAGAAACACAAAGTTCCCAAGTGCTTTGGTCTTCCGTGTGTCTCTTTTAAACTTTTGTAAGGTAGTAGTGCGCTTAGGTATTTTAGTCTGGTTAATGCAAGATGATTTTATTCAACTGAGAGAAGCCCCTGCCTCACATAGGGTTAGAGGCCTACAACCTAATACAAGCAATGTTATTACAGGTATTTTGAATTTATTTTACAGAACACTGGTGACATCACATCGTTGCCAAAAATCTTAGGTGGCAGAGATCTTGTGGCACATGACCTGGTGAGAAATCGTCTGCGTGACGCCTGGTTTATGGAGAATGAAGATGTAACACGCATGCTTGATGAAAGGGATGCGTTTAACAGAAGACAGTCTGGCGATGAGAATTTATTTGACCTACCAATGAATCCCAGGAACCAGAGGAGGAGGATGATAAAATAAATGTTGTATAGAAAATTCACTTGTGTACATATTGTTGTGTCTAAAGTTTAGTACAGTATTTCTCTTAATTTGTTTAATGTAAAATAAATTTTTTTTTACAAATAACTGAAACAGAAAAATATACATTACTTTTAATCAATTACTCGAATTCCTTATATCGTGGTCTCTTGGAGTTCAGGAGTGACTATTGGAACAACAGTTAGGCCTCGTCTCTTACTGTGTGGTACAGTACAGTATTGGTTTATAAAGGTTATCAAAATACAACTGTTTGAGATAGCAGACTATGGGTTTCCTCTGTGAGAATAGTAGGAAATACAGTACAGTACATGCAATACCCTGAGAAGTACAAATATTAATTAAGAATAATGTTCAGCAATACTGCACACGAAGGAACTTCTCCAGAGATCTTTGTGGCCTGTTGACGTGAAAGGCAGTGTGTTGACATGTCAAATTTAAAAGCCCTTATTAACCCCTTTGCTGGCCGATGATGCTATTTACGTCACTGTGCGGACTGGTGGAAGCATTTAAGATGCGGTATTATCTTTCCACATTTATTTTCTGTCATCCCATATCATTTATATGCAATGTAACTATTTTGGTTTTTTGTCACTTAGACAGTTTATCTATATAACCCAATAAAAGAAAAGAAGAAAAAATGTGCATATTATTACCTGTACAGTATATGGTAAATGAAACACTACAGTTAATTCAAAGAAAAAGTATGCATTTTTTGGCCGTTCTGCGGTTGAGATTTGTACCAGATGTCCAGCCGTTTTTTTTGGTTAATGACCATAATTATCTTCTCATGAAATAGTTAAGACCAATTTCCACAGCACATTGAAGTGAGTTGACAATGTTATTCTCCTCTTGCCATTTATATATGGAAGGGGATTACACAGACATAAATGTTATACAGTAAAGATTTCTACATTGCCACCTAATAGAAATTCAACGTACAATCACCTTCATACACTAGTGAAGGGGACTGTACCTGTAAAGAGAGGTGGTGACCAAACCTACCATGTCTTGAATAGAATGCTTTACAGTAAGAATAAATTTGTTTTGAATTTATGCATGTCATTTACTGTATACTGTATATCATAATTTACTATATATTTTTTTATTTTTGTTAAAAGATGCCATACTGTTGGTGGTACAGTGGTAGCATGTGTATCTCTCACCAAGATGTTAAAAATGTGAGCCTGGACAACCATGACAAGGCGTTACCCTACCAAACATCACATGTTTCCTGTCCCCCAGTTTCTCCTGTACTAACACTGGATAGACCAGCTCACCTGAACTAGAATTGAGATATTTATATGCGCCCTGTTAGGAAGTTAGGTAAGGTTAGGGGTAAAATTGCTGTTTCACTACCAGATGGTATTTGACCAGTAATCTTGCTTTTTCCCATGGTATTTAGTGTGCTTCATTTGAATTTTTTCCTAATTTCTGTCAAAAATAAGTCATTTTTGAGTTATCACCCCCTCCAATTACTCTACCCCAGTTGGGAGTGAAGCTGAAATAATACCAGATTAGGTAAGTTTAGTTGGTAAGGATAGCTTAATTAGTAACACATGGCTGATACTACCAACCCAACTTCCTAGGGGTGGGGAGGGGGGGGGGGATTGTGGACCCCCCAGGCATATTAAATATCTCGGTTTTGGGTCATTTGCACCCTAAGTCTCGTGGATGAAAATCGTCTCGCTTTTGTCTTAACTTATCATTAGGGCAACAGAAAAATCAATATTGAATTATATCCTATATAGTACTCTAAATTGACCCAAAGAAAGTATTACCCAGGGCCTCTGGAAGGAGCCTTGGGGGTTCAACAGCCCCTGGGGGCACCGCTGCCTCTGGGAGGAACCCTAGGAGTGCTGCTGCCCTTGGGAGGTCACCTGGGGCTGCTACCACCCTTAAGGAGGGCCCCTGGGGATACTGCTGCCCCTGGGTGCGCTGTCGCCCTGGGAGGGCCCATGGGGGCGTCAACGCCCATGGGAGGGCCCTTGAGGATGCCCCGACCCAGGGAGAGACCCTGGGAGTGCCGCCGCACCTGACAGGGCCCCTGGGGTCTCCTCCGCCCTTGCGAGGGCCTTTGGAGGCTTCGCTGCTTTTGGGAAGGCCCCTAGGGGAGCTGCCACACCAGGGAGGTACCTTGGGGGTGCCCCTGTCCCTGAGAAGTCTCCTGGGGTCGCCACCGCCCCTGGGAGGGCCCCTGGGGCCGCCATCGCCCTTGGGAGGGCCCCTGAGGCCGACACTGTCCTTGGGAGGGCCTCTGGGGCTGCTGTTGCCCCTAAAGAGAGCCCCAGGGGCTCCATCGCTTCTGGGAGGGCCCCTGGAAGGACACCTGGAGGCACCACAGCCCCTGGCAAGGACCCAGGGGGCACTGCTGCCCCTGGGAGTGCTGCCTTCCCTGGAAGGTACCCTAGGGGCTCGGCGGCCCCTGGAAGGATCGTTGGGGGCACTGACATCCCTATAGAGGATCCCTGGGGTCGCTGCTGCCCATGGGAGGGCCTCTGGGTGTGCCTTCATCCCTGGGGGCACCACCGCCCCTGGGAAGGCCCTTGAGGGCGCCGCCGATCGTGGGAAGGCCCCTAGGTGCACTGAAGCCCCTGGTAGGAACACTGGGGGCGCTGGCAATCCTAAGGAGGGCCCCTGGAGGCACTGCTGCCCCTGAAAGAGCCCCTAATGCGTTGTCGCCCCTGGGAGGTCCCTTGGGGACGCCATCGACCTTGATAGGGCCCCTGGAGTCGCCACCGCCTCTTGGAAAGCCCCCGTCGCCCCTGGGATTGCATGTGGGGGCGCCGCTGCCCATGGCTGGGCTTCCTGGGGCACGGCCACCTCTGGAAGGGATCCTGGGGGCACCGGCGCTGCTTGGAGGGCCCGTAGGGCGCTGCCGCTTCTGGGAGGTCCCGTGGGGTACTTACCACCCCAAAGGAAGCCCCCTGGGTGCATTGCCGCCTTTGGGAGGGCCCCTAGATGTGCTGTCTCCTCTGGGTTAGCCCCTGGGGGCGCTGTTGCCCCCAGTAGGGACCCTGGAAGTGCCACCGCTCCTGGGAGTGCACTGAAGCTCTGCCCCTGAGGGCGACCCTGTCCTTGTAGGCCCTGAAGCGCTGTGGCCCCTGGGGGCGCCCCATCCTAGTAGGTTCCCTGGGGGAATTGCCACCAATAAGGAGGATGCTTGGGTGCACAGCCACCCTGGGAGGGCCCGTGGTACACCAACGCCCCTGGAGGAACAACAGCCCCTGGGAGGGACCCAAGGGGCATCACTGCCCGTGGGAGGGCGCCTGGGGACGCAGCTGTACCTAGGAGGGACCCGGTGGGCGCCGTCGCCTCTGGGAGCGTCGCCGTCCCCGGAGGGTCCCATAGGGGCACTGCTGCTCCCTGGAGAAATTGCCATCCATACGGAGGGCCCTTGGTGGCACTGGGAGAGCTCGTTGTGCACCGTCGCCTCTGGGAGGGCCCCTGTGAGGACCCTTGGAAGCGTCGCCGACCTTGGGGGGGCCCCTAGGGTCACCACTGCCTCTTGGAGGGCCCCTGTTGGCTCTGGGAGGCCCCTTGGGAGCGCGGCCATACCTGGAATGGTCCCTGGAGGCACCACCGGCTTTTGAAGGGCACCTAGGGTGCTGCTGCTCCTTGAAGGTCCCCCGGGGGAATTACCACCCTTAAGGATGGCCCCTGGGAGCGCTGCCTTTCTGGGAGGGACCCTGGGATGCCCCTGGGAGGGCCCGCCAGGGGTTCTCCCTGGAGCGGTAGTGCCCAGGGAATCACCATAGGGGTGGCGGGACCTCCCAGGGGCCATGGCTCCCCTAGGGGCCCTCCCAGGGTCTGCAGCGCCCTCAAGGGCCCCATCAGAGGTGGTGGTGCCCTCATGGGTGACGGCACACCCAGGGGGCCCTCCCATAGGTGGCAGCATCCCCAGGGGCTCTCTTTAGGGGTGGCAGTGCTTCCAGGGAACCTCCCAGGGGCTGCAGCGCCCCTAGGGCCCTCCCAGGGGCAGTGCAGCACCCAAAACTTTTCAAAGGGCGGTTATTGACCCTTGGGGCACTCCCAGGGGCGGCAGTGCCCTTACATGCCCTCTCAGAGGCGGTGGTGCCCCCAGGGTCCCTCCTAGGCATGGCGCCGCCGCTAGGGGCCTTCACAAGGGCGGCTGAGCCATCAGGGGCTTGAACGTGGTGTAGTACATATTGCATACGTCCAGCAATCCCTTACTTAACAGTGATTGGTGGACTAAGATAAAAATCCACTAAATTACAGCCAATAGGAGAACAGAGCAGTCGGTCAGCTCAACACCCCAACTTATGTTTTCCTGTTGGATATTTATTTTCTTTTACAGTTTTCATGGTGGAAATGCGATGGGTTCCCATTGTCCTAAATAGTGCAAAAACAACTGCCCCCAGGGTCTCTACCAGAGGTGCCCCCCTCCCAGGAGTCCTATAGTTTGCTTGGTAGTATTGCCGTACATATTGTTTATATTCAGCAATTCCTTACTTAACTGTGATTGGTGGATTAAAATGTTAATCCACCGAATATCAGCCAATAGGAGAACAGAGAAGTCAGTCAGCACAACACCCCAACTTATGTTTTCCTGTTGGATATTTGTTCTCCTTTACAGTGTTCATGGTGCTATGATACTGGAAATGCGATGGACAGTGTATTTATTTAACGTCATCCTGGGAGGTCCCCTAGTGGCGCCACCACTCCTGGGAGAGCCCCTGGGGGCGCCACTAACCCTAAGTAAGGCCCCTGGTGGCGTCATCGCCCCTGGAGGTCCCATGCCGGCAGTTGCTTTTGCACTATATAGAACTCTGGGAGATATAACGTCAAATAAATACACCGCCCATCGCATTTCCAGTATCATAGCACCATGAACACTGTAAAGGAGAACAAATATCCAACAGGAAAACATAAGTTGGGGTGTTGTGCTGACTGACTGCTCTGTTCTCCCATTGGCTGTAATTTGGTGGATTTTTATTTTAGTCCACCAATCACTGTTAAGTAAGGGATTGCTGGACGTATGCAATATGTACGACACCACGATTAAGTCTTGGGGGCGTCGCTGATCCTGAGAGGTCCCCTGAGGACGCCACCGCCCCTGTGAGGGCCCCTGGGGGAATCACTGCCTTTGTGAAGGCCCCTAGGGGTACATCCGCCGTTGGGAGAACCCCTAACGGCGCCGCCGCGCCTGGGAGGTCCCCTGGGTTGTCGACCCTGGTAGTGCCTTTAGGGGCGCCCCGGCCCCTGGCAGGTCTCCTGGGGGCACTCCCACCCCCAAGGTGGTCCCCTGGGGGTGATGCCGCCCCTGGGAGGGCCTCTAAGATCAATGGGAATGTTTTCAGATCAATGGGGATGTTGTCAGATGAATGGGAATGTTCTCAGCTCAGTATAAATGTTCTCAGACCAATATGAATCTTTCCAGATCAATGGGGATGCTATCAGATCAATGGGGATGTTCTCAGATTAATGGTAATGTTCTCAGATCAATGGGAATGTTCTCAGATCAGTGGGAATGTTCTCAGATCAATGGGAATGTTCTCAGATTAATGGTAATGTTCTCAGATCAATGGGAATGTTCTCAGATCAGTGGGAATGTTCTCATATCAATGGGAATGTGCTCAGATTAATGGGAATGTTCTCAGATTAGTGGGAATGTTCTCAGATCAATGGTAATGTTCTCAGATTAATGGAAGTGTTCTCAGATCAATGGGAATGTTTTCAAGGTAGTCAGTATTTGTGTTGAATGAAAATTAATTAAACTACAAGAGCAGATCAATAACTCTTTGCTTTACTTTTTATTTAAAAGAATGTTGAGTCATAAGTGAAGGGGAAACTTCTAATTCCATGTTACAGAAGCCAGTTGATAATAATAATTGATATACTGTATAGTCAATTTGCAGGAGAACTGTGATGTAAATAAATATAACTCTTTTATTTCCCGATATTTATTGACAAAATACAATTGGTTATAATTTGGTTACTTGTGATGTTTATTTACTTATGAAACACAAACTTTCCCAAGCTGTGATCGTAGCTGTGGCTCCTGAGGGCTGAGACAACTTCACAACGTCTCGTACTGTCCAAAACCAACGTTCATGGGTTGTCTATGTTCCTGTGTACCAGACGACGTCGATTGTATCCACCAGTTCATAAATGTTTCGACAACAGATTTATATTCCTACGTTTTAATTATATTTTACATCATTAAGTTATCTTTACACACACCAGCGTTTCTTACTTTGTTTTTACATCAAGACTGGGCCGTGATTTTATCCAATTAGGTTAAAATCACGCGATTTCCCCTCGATCTTCGGTATGTTTGGATCCAGAATGAGAAACATAATTGCATGCCTTTGTAATTCTATTCCTGTTGGCTAGGAAGGGACAACCATTATGGCCGACCCCCCAGACAGGTAAAAAGCAAGACAATCAATCAGTTAGTTGTTAATGGTATTGGGCTGATATAGAGGATACAAGAGACACTTGTTGTAATAAATAATGGTTAAAAAAAACATTTATATAAGGTTTTTGATCGACAACTTCTAAAAAGAAAAAAAGAAAAAGAAAGATGTATCCAACTCATACGTCTTGGGACCAACACAGCTGCTGGTTAAGTGAATTAACACCAGATTGCCAGTCAGTAGCGGAATAAACACCACAAAAATATAATTAATAATATTAAGAATCCGAAGATCAAGATATAAAACGTGGTACGCAGACACAAAGACAATGATGGCCTTACACCTGTGGCCCCACTTGAGGGATAACGAGCTCATATTCCTTGAACTATTGAACCCGGAGGTACGAGCACTACGAACAACCAACTTGTCGAGAACCAGACGTCTTAATATTCTCTGAACAAAAAAGACACGTTCATACATTTCACTCACTTGCAGATACCTGTATAAGCGAGGAATCAACAACGAAATTTTACAATACAAGCCGCTGGGTCTTCGTGAAAATTCAGTTATTAGATGGTAGAACCAATGAATATAGAAGAAGGGGGTATAAAAGAGACGGAGTAGGTAATTGTAGTAGATTGAAGCGTCTACTGGCGCGGAGGGTAGACATAGTAGCTGAACATATTCTGGAAGTGTTCGTAGCGGGAGGACCGATGCTGCGGTTCGCCATTTTTCCGCACGTAGTCCTCACACTCCTCCATGGTGATGGTGTTCTTCTCCACATGCTCACCGAATCCGGATTTGTAAGAGTTATAGCGCTGGTGAAAGAAAATTAGACTTGTAAACTTAGGCTTTATAATGAGAAAAGGTGAAGAAGACCTTGACAAAGTTATTTACAAAGAAATCTGAGTGGAAGTTGAATACAGTGAAGAGAAAACACACTGCTCAAGGATTTATGACAGTCAACACGCAATTGAGAGAGAGAGAGAGAGAGAGAGAGAGAGAGGCCACATATCTTACACCTACATCTGATGGCAGTAACACAGAGAGGACTCACCTGCTGCATACTGCGGGCGAAGCTGCCGTCGGTGATCATGCGGGCAGCATTCCTGAGGGCGCGGGCGAAGGTGTCCATGGCCAGGACGTGACCGTGGAACAAGTCGCGAGGCTCCACGGACTCACGACGGACTCGGCCACCCAGTGTGAACCCTCCTTGCTGGAGACCTCCCTGGGAATACCACAAATTAAAGTGTCATACTCAGTGACTCAGATAAATAAGGAAGAAGACAAGAGTTACAGTGAATGCACAGATATGATGCCAATACTCAGCTCAAGGTTAGTTTACCTGCTCAAGAACGCACTTCATGACATAGGTGGCGTCGCGCATGTTCTTGGCGCAGAGGTCAGACGTTCCTTGGAACTCTGGGAAGCTGTCAGAAGCGTCCACACTACCCAGCATGTTGTACGCGGCTGCCATGTACACGTCGTGCTCGTAGGGGCGACCCATGAGGCGGGAGAAGGCTGGCTTGATGTATAGTTTGTATTGCTTGTCCAAACCAAAGTGGTTCAACATTTGCATGGTGGCCATGGCGTCACTCTCGTACTGGTGACGGCGAGGGTCAGCAGGCTTGGGCTGGATCAGCAGCTGGCCCTTGAAGCCAATCTTATCCTTGTACTGCGAGGCCATGCGGTACAGCTGCGCCATGTGTGATTGGTCGCGCAAGAACTGTCGCTGCAATACGCTTTGGTAGCCATCGCGAGGGTTGAAGAAGACGAAGTTCTCGGCGCCTAGGCGCTTGGCCGCCTCCATACTGCGCTTGACCTGCGCACAAGCATAGGCGAAGACGTGGGCGTCAGGGTTGGCCCCGGCACCGTTAGCATAGCGAGGGTGGGAGAAGAGGTCAGCACTGTAGTAGAGGGGTTTCAGCCCCGTCTGCCTTTGCAGGTCAGCCGCCAACGTCACCATCTCCTCCAGGTAGTTGTTGGTCTCCTCGAAGTTCTCTCCTTCTGGGGCCATGTCGCGGTCACTCACCTAGTCAATATACAAGACATATCAGATGTAAACGGCTTTGATGGCGATCTCCGTTTTGACGATGCTGAGCTAATTGCCAGTTCACATTGACATCCAAAATATTGTGACCCCAAATATGTATATATATGATGCACAAAATACATAGGTGAGCTAACAATGCTACAGGTCGTCCTCAAATCACCTACCGAGTAGTACTTGACGCAAAGCTTATGGAAGAACTCAAAGGCGGCCATCATGCGACGCTTATAGTTGTCGAGGGACTGTGAGGCGTCCTCCCACGACCTCTGGTGGGCTCGGTCCCCGTAGTAGTCGTCAGCACCCAGGTACCTGCCATCACCAAGTGCACCTGTACACTCACCCCACTACATGTACACTACATAGTTGGTCTACATATAGTTTTCACGGTTAACACGAAGACTCGCCCCCTAGCTTACGTCACCTTCAGAGTAATTTCCCCATCGCTATCCTAACCTAACCTAAACTATACCCTCTGACTTGGAGAGTTATAGATAGATATTTTAAACACACACACACACACACACACACACACACACACACACACACTATACATAATGTTGTTATACAGTTTGGTTATACAGTAAATTTACTTTTAACAATAAGGTGGCGGTCAGACCTTCACCCTGTGGCGCCAGATAAACCTATCGTGCCTGATGGTGTGTCACTCACTAACTCACTCACTCACTTGATACTGTTGTCACTCACTCTTTCGCCTGAAGCTGCCGTCACTCACTCATGTACAGACGCCGCCACTCACCTGAAGGTGTTGAAGTAGCAGACGGAGAAGCGTAGCCACTCCTCCATGGTCCGGCCATGGACGGTCTCGCCGGCGTTGTAATGCCGGAAGACGAGGGTGTCCTCCGGGCCGGCGTCTGGCCGGTACTCCACGCGGCCGATTCCTGGGAAGTATTTGTTCATCCTGACGGCGTGGTTGACGGCGACTGACAGTGGCTGACGTCGTCCACGAGCTGACGACGGCTGACGGGAGTTTCTTGGCTTTCCCCGAATTATATACTCCAGGCGGGATCACTAGACCGACTCGTCCCGACACCCGATCCCTCCCCACCGACACACCCTGCCGACCGTCGACCGGATCCTCCACTGTGTACATAACACCTTCATTCACTTTTGTATGGTGTATGGTGCGTCACTCTTATGTATGGTGTATGACTGTGTGTCACTCTTATGTATGGTGTATGACTGTGTGTCACTCTTATGTATGGTGCATGACTGTGTGTCACTCTTATGTATGGTGTATGAGTGTGTGTCACTCTTATGTATGGTGTATGACTGTGTGTCACTCTTATGTATGGTGTATGACTGTGTGTCACTCTTATGTATGGTGTATGACTGTGTGTCACTGTTATGTATGGTGTATGACTGTGTGTCACTCTTATGTATGGTGTATGACTGTGTGTCACTCCTATGTATGGTGTATGACTGTGTGTGATTCCTATGTATAGTGTATCACTGCAGGCAGGCCAACAAGTGGCAGCAACAGTGATACTAGCCAACTGAGGTGTAGGTATTATAAGTCGTAGCCTCAAACACAAATATAATAAAATATTCCTTCTGCTTGGACACCCTACCATCAGAAGGACTCAACATCTCTAGACAAGGTGCAACACAGAGCGACTAAGATGATTCTTGAACTCTATCATCTAGAATCCTAGTTTATCCAAGTACTGTAGATTGAGGGCCTTACGTCTAACAACGCTTCAGACAAGGCACAATAGGAAGGATCTCATAATAGAAGCATTCAGAGTCTTGACAGGGATGGAAAACGTAAACACAAGCTATTTTTTTTTTAGTAATGTCACGCGCCACCAACACGAGGGGACATAACTCCAAGCTCGTCAAGATATCCTGCTGGAGGAATATAAGAGAATAGTTCCTGACGCATAGGGTGGAAGGCCTTTGGAGTACCCCACCACCTCATGCTGTGGAATCGAGAACAATAGAAGGATGCTACACAGGCCACTAACCTTCCCTCGCCATGGCCACTTCTAGCTGGGGTGGCCATTAGGTAAATAAGACAATGAGGGCAGGACTATTTCACCCTAACGTATACTTTTTATTCCCTTTATAACTCACAACAACCATTATACACACGCCCATACACTGTGTATAAATGTTCCCCCCTCTTGTATGACGGATTTGGTGAGGGGTGACAAGCACATTTGTTTGTATACAATATAGTCGCGTATTTTCTCACTTGTCTCCTATACATCTATACATACATGGCTGTGTGGTATTGTGACCGGCCTATCTACTTTATTTATGATCATGTATAGTAGTGTATGTATCCTGTGTATGTGTATTATGTATTGTGAGAGAGAGAGAGACTTTGACCCACCCTTGTATTCTTGACCTTGACGAGAGGATGAGAAGGGTGGGGTGGGTGGATGACTCTATGCTCTAAGCATATTTCATATTTCTTGCAGTCCTTTATGATCCTGTCAACAGCTTTTAGCAAGGTAAGACCAAACTAATCCATACACGGCCTCCATCTTTGTGTGTACGAACTCTGTCCTGGCAGTGAGAAGTGATACCACCTCAGTGTCAAGACCTGACTGAATTACTAGAATAGGCAAACTGTACTACAAGCATTGTCAATAAATTTTTAAACTAAACCCCCCCATGGCACGGGACCCAAGGACGCAGGCCCCAAAGACGCAAGCCCCCAAGGGCGCAGGGCCCTGAAGACGCGGGTCCCCAGCGGCGCAGGCCCCAACGATGCAGACCCCTCAAAGACGCAGTCCCCAAGGATGCAGGCCCTCAAAGACGCAGGCCCCCAAGGAAGCAGCCCCAAGGATGCAGGCCCCCAAGAGAGGGACCCCCCAAGTATATGGGCCTCGTGAAGCAGGTTCTTAGTATGAGGGGCTCCCAAGTCGCGCCTCTAAGTGCAGGTCCGCAAGGCACGGGCCCTTGAAAAGGTGAGAGAGAGACCATATGCGTGTGTGTGTGTGTGTGTGTGTGTGTGTGTGTGTGTGTGTGTGTGTGTGTGTGTGTGTGTGTGTGTGCGTGTGTGTGTGTGTGTGTCGAACTGGCTCGACACATAACCTGTTGTACCTCTGATGACATTACAACCAGCACCATCCCTCCTCCTTCCTTCCATCCCTCCCTCCACCCATCCTCCACCCATCCCTCCCTCAATCCTTCCCTCTCCTTCCATCCCTCCTCCACCCATCCCCTCTTCCTTCCATCCCTCCCTCCACCCATCCCTCCCTCCACCCATCCCTCTCCACCCATCCCCCTTCCTTCCATCCCACCCTCCACCCATCCCTCCCTCAATCCTTCCTTCCTTCCTTCCATCCCACCCCACCCATCCCCTCCCATCCTTCCATCCCACCCTCCACCCATCCCTCCTCCACCCATCCCTTCCTTCCTTCCATCCTCCCTCCACCCATCCCTCCCTCCATCCTTCCTTCCTTCCTTCCATCCACCCTCCAATCTCCTCCCTCAATCCTTCCCTTCCTTCCTTCCATCCCTCCCTCCACCCATCCCTCCCTCCATCCTTCCCTTCCTTGCTTCCATCCCGCCCTCCACCCATCCCTTTTCCTTCCATCCCTCCCTCACCATCCCTCCTCCATCCTTCCTTCCTTCCTTCCATCCCACCCTCCACCCATCCCTCCTCATCCTTCCCTTCCTTCCTTCATCCCACCCTCCACCCATCCCCTTCCTTCCTTCATCCCTCCCTCACCCATCCCCTCCCTCCATCCTTCCTTCCTTCCTTCATCCCATCACCATCCCTCCTCCATCCTTCCTTCCTTCTATCCCACCCTCCACCATCCCTCCTCCATCCTTCCTTCCTTTCCATCCCTCCCTCACCCATCCCTCCTCTCCATCCTTCCCTTCCTTCTTCCATCCCATATCACCCATCCTCCTCCATCCTTCCTTTCCTTCCATTCCACTCACCCATCACCATCTATTCCTTTCATCCCTCCTCATCACCTCCCTCATCCTCCATCCTTCCCTTCTTCCATCCCACTCACCCATCACCTCTCTCATCCTTTCCCTTTTCCTTCCATCACCTCCTTCAATCCATTCCTTTCTTCCTTCCATCATCACCCTCCATCATCCCTCCTTTCCTTCCTTTCCTTCAATCACCCTCACCCATCCTCCTCCATCCTTCCCTTTCTTTCCTTCCATCCACCCTCCACCCATCCCTTCCTTCCTTCCATCCCTCCCTCCACCCATCCCTCCTCCATCCTTCCCTTCCTTCATCCACCTCCACCCATCACCTTCCTCCACCCCCTCCTGATCCCTTCCTTCCCTCCATGGTAGCAACAGAGGGCGTGGTAGCAACAGAGGGCGTGGTAGTAACTGAGAGGGCAGGGGTAGTAACTGAGAGGGGCAGGTAGCACAGAGAGGGCGTGGTAGCAACAGAGAGGGCGTGGTAGTAACTGAGAGGGCGGGGTAGTAACTGAGAGGGCGGGTGGCAACAGAGGGGCGTGGTAGCAAAGAGAGGGCGTGGTAACTGAGAGGGCGGGGTGGTAAGTAGAGGGCGGGGTAGTAAGTGAGAGGGCGGGGTAGTGAGGAGGGGGCAGGATAGCAACAGAGGGCGTGGTAGCAACAGAGAGGGCGTGGTAGCAACACAGAGGCGTGGTGGCAGCAGAGAAGAGCGTGGTAGCAACAGAGTGGGCGTGGTAGCAACAGAGACGGCGTGGTAGCAACAGAGGGCGTGGTAGCAACAGAGAGAGCGTGGTAGCAACAGAGGGGCGTGGTAGCAACAGAGAGGCGTGGTAGCAACAGAGAGGGCGGTAGCAACAGAGAGGGCGTGGGAACAGAGGGGCGTGGTAGCAACAGAGAGGGCGTGGTAGCAACAGAGAGGCCGTGGTGGCAGCAACAGAGAGCGTGGTAGCAACAGAGTGGGCGTGGTAGCAACAGAGAGGGCGTGGTAGCAACAGAGGGCGTGGTAGCAACAGAGCGTGGTGAAGGGGGGGGTAGCAGAGAGGGGGAACAGAGGGGTGGTAGCAACAGAAGGGTGGTGTAAGGGGGTGGAACAGAGGGCGTGGTAGGAACAGAGAGGGCGTGGTAGGAACAGAGAGGCATGGTAGGAACAGAGGGCATGGTAGGAACAGAGAGGGCGTGGTAGAACAGAGGGGCGTGGTAGCAACAGAGAGGCGTGGTAGCAACAGAGAGAGGCGTGGTAGTAACAGGGAGGGCGTGGTCCAGGGGCGTGTGAACAGAGGGGTGGTAGGAACAGAGGGTGGTAGGAACAGAGAGGGCGTGGTAGGAACAGAGGGGCGTGGTAGCAACAGAGGGGCGTGGTAGCAGAGGCGTGGTAGTAACAGGGAGGGCGTGGTAGCAACAGAGAGGGCGTGGTAGCAACAGAGGGGCGTGGTAGGAACAGAGGGCGTGGTAGCAACAGAAAAGGCGTGGTAGTAACTGAGAGGCGTGGTAGCAACAGAGAGGGCGTGGTAGCAACAGAGAGGGCGTGGTAGGAAGAGAGGGCGTGGTAGGAAGAGGCGTGGTAGGAAGAGAGGGCGTGGTTGGAACAGAGGGCGTGGTAGGAACAGATAGGGCGTGGTAGCAACAGAGCGTGGTAGGAACAGAGAGGGCGTGGTAGGAACAGAGGCGTGGTAGGAACAGAGAGGGCGTGGTAGGAACAGAGAGGGGGTGGTAGTAACTGAGAGGGCGTGGTAGCAACAGAGGCGTGGTAGTAACTGAGAGGGCGGGGTAGGAACAGAGGGCGTGGTAGGAACAGACAGGGCGTGGTAGGAACAGAGAGGGCGTGGTAGGAACAGAGAGGGCGTGGTAGCAACAGAGAGGGCGTGGTAGCAACAGAGGGCGTGGTAGCAACAGAGAGGGCGTGGTAGTAACTGAGAGGCGTGGTAGTAACAGAGGGGCGTGGTAGCAACAGAGAGGGCGTGGTAGTAACTGAGAGGGGCGTGGTAGTAACTGAGAGAGGGCGTGGTAGTAACAGAAGAGCGTGGTAGTAACTGAGAGGGGTGGGGTAGGAACAGAGGGGGCGTGGTAGCAACAGAGAGGGCGTGGTAGCACGAGGGGCGTGGTAGCAACAGAGAGGGCGTGGTAGCAACAGAGAGGGCGTGGTAGTAACTGAGGCGTGGTAGTAACTGAGAGGGCGGGTAACAACAAAGAGGGCGTGGTAGGAAGAGGGCGTGGTAGCAACAGAGGGCGTGGTAGCAACAGAGAGGGCGTGGTAGTAACTGAGGGCGTGGTAGCAACAGAGAGGGCGTGGTAACAACAGAGAGGGCGTGGTAACAACAGAGGGCGTGGTAACAACAGAGGGCGTGGTAGCAACAGAGGGCGTGGTAACAACAGAGGGCGTGGTAACATCAGAGAGGGCGTGGTAGCAACAGAGAGGCGTGGTAGCAACAGAGGGCGTGGTAGCAACAGAGAGGGTGGTAACATCAGAGAGGGGCGTGGTAGCAACAGAGAGGCGTGGTAACATCAGAGAGGGCGTGGTAGCAACAGAGAGGGCGTGGTAGCAACAGAGAGGGGCGTGGTAGCAACAGAGAGGGCGTGGTAGGAACAGAGAAGGTGCTGTAACAGGGAGGGAGTGAGGGAGGGAGGGAGGGGGGGAAGGAGGGAAGGAAGGAAAGAAGGGGGAGGGAGGGAGGGAGGGAGGGAGGGAAGGGGTGTTAGGTGCAGGACAGCTGGGTTTACACCGTGACAGTAATGTAATACACAACACTTGGGCCTGGATGCGAACCTGGTCTCTTGACACACCTCGCTGCCCACCACACCACGACACCTATCTCTCTCTAGCTCAAGAAAATGTCAGCAAGCAGTACCGCCACACCACGACACCTATCTCTCTCTCTAGCTCAGGAAAATGTCAGCAAGCAGTACCGCCACCACGACACCTATCTCTCTCTCTAGCTCAGGAAAATGTCAGCAAGCAGTACCGCCACACCACGACACCCTATCTCTCTCTCTAGCTCAAGAAAATGTCAGCAAGCAGTACCGCCACACCACGACACCTATCTCTCTCTCTAGCTCAGGAAAATGTCAGCAAGCAGTACCGCCACACCACGACACCTATCTCTCTCTCTAGCTCAGGAAAATGTCAGCAAGCAGTACCGCCACACCACGACACCTGTCTCTCTCTCTAGCTCAGGAAAATGTCAGGTCACAGTAGGGGGTTTAAAGCTGGCTGTGTATGTGTATGTGTGTGTGTGTGTGTGTGTGTGTGTGTGTGTGTCACATAAAACAGTACTTGTCACGACCATGTTCGTGTCGTAACCCCATCACGGGGTTGGGGGAATGATGTAACACCTGCACAAACAGGTATAATAAACAGGTAAAGCGCCTTTACCTACCTTCCAAAGTACTACAGCTTCAGGTTAAGTTAGGTTGGCAACTTTGTCAGCTTATATTGCCGTCACGAGATACGTCACCCATGTGGAATTGATCTGTGATTGGTCGACCTAATTTACCTAGTAGAAATTGGGAATACGTACGGGCAGCTGTTATCTTGCTGAGGCCGTTCAGTTACCCAGACAGGTGAGGGGAGGCCGTACACTGCCTTATTCTCGTCATCCAACTGATGCTAAGGTACAGAGTCTATAAGTTAATAATGACTAAACTATTTCTTCTATAATAATAATATGTATTCAATAAAATTATCATCCAGCTTAATAATCGGATAGACATTATTCCTATACAGGTATACAAATCAGCGTGAATATATATAATGTAGGTATACGGTGCAGGTAGGTCGAACTGTGTGGCCAGAGAGTGTAGGTTAAACAACAGTGGTAAACAGTAAGGCAACTTGACCAAGGATTGATGGTGGTAGTGAGGTGAGGGGTGAGGTGTGGTGAGGGTGAGGTGATGGTGAGGGGTGAGGTGATGGTGAGGGGTGAGGTGTGTGGGGTGAGGTGGGTGAGGGTGGTGTGGTGAGGTGAGGTGTGGGTGGTGGGTGATGGTGGGTGAGGTGTGGTGAGGGTGAGGTGTGGTGAGGTGAGGTGGTGAGGGGTGAGGTGATGGTGAGGGGTGAGGTGTGGTGAGGGGTGAGGTGTGGTGAGGGTGAGGTGTGGTGAGGGGTGAGGTGTGGTGAGGGTGAGGTGTGTGGGGGTGAGGTGTGGTGAGGGGTGAGGTGATGGTGAGGGTGAGGTGTGGTGAGGGGTGAGGTGATGGTGGGGTGGGTGATGGTGAGGGTGAGGTGATGGTGAGGGGTGAGGTGATGGTGAGGTGTGGTGAGGGTGAGGTGATGGTGAGGGTGAGGTGTGGTGAGGGTGGGGTGATGGTGAGGGGTGAGGTGTGGTGAGGGGTGAGGTGTGGTGGGGGTGGGGTGTGGTGAGGGTGAGGGTGGTGAGGTGAGGTGATGGTGAGGGTGAGGTGATGGTGAGGGGGGTGTGGTGAGGGGTGAGGTGATGGTGAGGGGTGAGGTGTGGTGAGGGTGAGGTGAGGTGAGGGGTGAGGTGTGGTGAGGGGGGTGGTGAGGGTGAGGTGTGGTGAGGGTGAGGTGTGGTGAGGGGTGAGGTGTGGTGAGGGGTGAGGTGTGGTGAGGGTGAGGTGTGGTGAGGGTGAGGTGTGGTGAGGTGAGGGTGATGGTGAGGGGTGAGGTGTAGTGAGGGGTGAGGGTGAGGGAAGACAAATCTAGTCACCATCACCTCACCTCCTCCCTCACCCCTCCTCTTCACCCTTCATCTCCTCACACACCCACCACAAATCGTAGGGGACGGGTGGTAGGTGTGAGTGTTGTCGGGGGCGGGTGTGTGGTCGGCGGGGTGTGTCGGGTGTCGGGTGTCGGAACCGGCGAGGACACGGTCTGGTGACGAGGCGCGAGGTATATAGCGGGTGGTGTGAGGGCGAAGTGCAGGGTGAGGAAGCAGCACAGTTGCTCAGCCACAGCTCTCCGTCAGCACCTTGGACGTCTTCGTCGCCGTCGTCAGCCGCCGCCGTCAGCCGCCGCCGTCAGGATGAACAAATACTTCCCAGGAATCGGCCGCGTGGAGTACCGGCCAGACGCCGGCCCGGAGGACACCCTCGTCTTCCGGCATTACAACGCCGGCGAGACCGTCCATGGCCGGACCATGGAGGAGTGGCTACGCTTCTCCGTCTGCTACTTCAACACCTTCAGGTGAGTGGCGGCGTCTGTACATGAGTGAGTGACGGCAGCTTCAAGCGAAAGAGTGAGTGACAGCCCTTTACATGAATGAGTGACAAGGGGAGGCACAGTGCATATTGTATATTAAGCCTTCGGGACACAAGGGGGCAACGTGGCCAAGAATGTACCCGAACGCCTCAGGTGAGTGGTGTATCTTAATCAGCCGCTGCACCTCTTACCTGTTCTATGATCAGATGTAAATATTTGTAAGGTCTGTGTTTTCAACACGTGGGAATGTGGTCATAGTATATAATATACTGAGCCGGGTGAAGGTTTCCTTATATTTTATCAAAAAGTTAGGTTTTCAGGGTGGCGATTTCCTCATGTTAGTATGCTGTATAATTATGTAAATTTACGATTCATTAGATATTTTTCACTCATTTTATTATATGGAGACAACGGCTTAGTTTTGGTATAGGCAACGAATAAAAACAAAATACAAGTTTTCGACATTATAGATGAGTGTGGTGAGAGTTGGTGCAAAAGGTGCGAGGTGAAGTTAACGTGTGTTGCCCGCCAGGTACTGTGGCTCTGATGGCCACTATGGTCAGCGAGCTCACCAGCACCAGTGGGGATGGCTCCCGCACCCTCGAGAACTACAAGCGTCGCATGATGGCCGCCTTCGAGTTCTTCCACAAGCTCAACGTCAAGTTCTACTCGGTATGTGATGTTTGTTTGATGAGCTGCGTCAAAATATAGGAATAATGATTGCCAAGAATTTCAGTGACTGATTATAGATGACTTTCGTATAATTTGTTGTGATATATGCTGCCTCTGTCCGCTTCATGCAGCTGAGGACGGCTGGTAAGACTTAGAGCCTGTATTTCCCAGACTGACTGAGAGATGTTTCCTCAGGTGAGCGACCGTGATATGGCTCCAGAGGGTGACAGCTTCGAGGAGACCAACAGCTACCTGGAAGAGATGGTGACCCTGGCTTGTGACCTTCAGAAGCAGACTGGTGTCCATCCCCTCTACTACAGCGCTGACCTCTTCACCCACCCTCGCTATATGAATGGCGCCGGGGCCAACCCTGATGCCCACGTCTTCGCCTATGCTTGTGCGCAGGTCAAGCGCAGTTTGGAGGCGGCCAAGCGCCTAGGCGCCGAGAACTTCGTCTTCTTCAACCCTCGCGATGGCTACCAAAGCGTATTGCAGCGTCAGTTCTTCCGCGATCAATCGCACATGGCGCAGCTGTACCGCATGGCCTCGCAGTACAAGGATAAGATTGGCTTCAAGGGCCAGCTGCTGATCGGCCAAGCCTGCTGACCCTCGCCGTCACCAGTACGAGAGTGACGCCATGGCCACCATGCAAATGTTGCGTCACTTTGGTTTGGACAAGCAATACAAACTATACATCAAGCCAGCCTTCTCCCGCCTCATGGGTCGCCCCTACGAGCACGACGTTGGCATGGCAGCCGCGTACAACATGCTGGGTAGTGTGGACGCTTCTGACAGCTTCTCGGAGTTCCAAGGAACGTCTGACATCTGCGCCAAGAACCAGCGCGACGCCACCTACGTCATGAAGTGCGTTCTTGAGCAGGTAAGACACGTGTTGGTGAAGCATATGAAGCTCTCCAGCATACACCGGTAGTTAGTCTTAGAAGGCAGAATTATAAAGTACTGATATCTATGTTAATGTATTTCTTTACAACAAAAATAAGTTGAGTACACAACTGAAACCGCTAAATATAATCACTGTGATCACCATTCTTCACTATTATCTTAAAAATATAATCAAGGTTACTATACTCCCATGGTGAAGGTGACTTACTGCGGTACATGAGCCGGGGAAATTATTTAGGCCATTCATCGAACTGGGAGAGTTTGTCTCTCACCAAGACCATAACAACGCTATGAATGAGAAGGATTTAACATAAATAAAGATAGATATCGGTAGACAGATAGGCAACGGGATAGCTAGATCACTCGACAGACAGAAGACAGGAAGGAGAGACAGACTAGGGTGGTGTGTGACAGTAAATATGTCTTTCAGAGTGGCCTGCAGCAAGGAGGGTTCACACTGGGTGGCCGTGTCCGTCGTGAGTCCGTGGAGCCTCGGGACTTGTTCCACGGTCACGTCCTGGCCATGGACACCTTCGCCCGCGCCCTCAGGAATGCTGCCCGCATGATCGCCGACGGCTGCTTCGCCCGCAGTGTGCAGCAGGTGAGTCCTTGCCTTTGTATCGGCTACGACCATCCACTCACAAAATATATATCAATATCTGAACAAAATCTAAGATTGTCTGTTGCATTTATTTGTGTTGTATTATATATGAAGAAGCTCGGTGCCGCCATCACCACTGTTCTATGTTACTCTTCAACACTAAAGATCTGTCCCATTCGTCAACAACTCTAACAGCCTCACTCCTGGTTTCCGTCTTTCACAACCTACAGAAGTCTGTCCAGTGCAATTTTTCTGTAGAACCTTTTCCAAGACAATTTTCTTCTTTCTCGTGAATTTTTTTTCCTGAGACAACTCTTCACCAATCACACGAAAACTCTCTATAATTATTGTTCGATGATGAGACGTGAGCCTGGCGACAGCTTGTTGAGTATACCCTTGTCTCTCCCACAGCGCTACTCTTCCTACAAGTCTGGCATCGGTGAGCGTATCGAGAAGGGCGCAGCCACTTTCGAGGAGTGCGAAGAATACATCCGCAAGTGTGGTGAGCCTCAGCCACAGTCCAGCCGCTACGAACACTACGAAAACATGTTCAGCTACTACGTCTACCCACCGCGGCAGTAGATTAATATTACCACCCCAGCAGGCGAGTCCTGTCCCCACCCCCGTCACCTCACCACACTCAACACCATCCCTTAACGACCGATACACCTGTACCTAGGAGAAGACCCTACACCTTCATGTACACTTAGGAGGGGACCCCATACCCTTCACCAAGGAGGGGACCCCACACCTACACATTCACCTAGGAGGGGACCCCATACCCTTCACCAAGGAGGGACCCCACACCTTCACATTCACCTAGGAGAGGGCCCCATCACCCTACAGCACATTAGGAGGACCCCACACCTACACATTCACCTGGGGGGACCCCATACCCTTCACCAGGAGGGACCCCACACCTACACATTCACCTAGGAGAGGGCCCCACCCCTACACCTTCATGTACACTTAGGAGGGACCCCATACCCTTCACCAGAGGGACCCCACACCTACACATTCACCCTAGGAGGGGCCTTGCCTTCACCAAGGACCCCCACCTACACATTCACCTGGGAGAGGGCCCCACACCCTACACCTTCATGTGTACACTTAGGAGGGGCCCCCATACCCTACACCAGGAGGGACCCCACCTACCAGGAGGGACCCCACACACACACCAAGGGACCCCACACTGCCTCAGGGGACCCCACACCTACACCAAGGGGGACCCCACACCTACCAAGGAGGGACACACCTACACCACGGAGGACCCCACCTTCACCAAGGAGGGACCCCCACCCCAAGGAGGGGACCCCACCTACACCAAGGAGGGACCCCCACCTACACCTAGTATGGGACCCCAAACCCACAACTGCCATTCCAGTATGGGACCCCAGACCCACACTTGATGACTGGGATGGGACCCCACACCTATACCTGCACTAGAGGGAACCCCACAATTGCTGACCTAGCATGGGGACCCCAGACCTACACCTACAACTAGGATAGGACCCCACACTTATGCATACACTAGGATGGGACTCCAGATCTACACCTACGACTGGGATGGGACCCTACACCTATACCTGCACTAGGAGGGAACCCCACAACTACACCTACACTAGGATGGGACCCCACACTTACACTAGGATGGGACCCCACACTTATGCATACACTAGGATGGGACCCCAGATTTACACCAACACTAGGATGGGACCCCACACCTACACATTCACCTAGGATGGGACCCCACACCTACACCTACACTAGGAAGGGACCCAACACCTACACTTGGATGGGACCCCACATCTACACTAGGAGGGGACCCCACACTTGGTGCCCCAACACCTCATAACTGGTACACAAATAATTCCCCCTAGAGAAAATCTTCAACACATTACAATACAAAACATCAACACATAACGCGAAAAAACTAATTCCCTTCATTGAGTCACCGTAATTTGGCGGTTCCTTTTGTTATTGAATTTAAACAACATTATGGAGCTGACGTCATCATAACTTGGTAAGTATACAGTCATGAGTCCAGGAATATATTACTCTTGTCACCTCATCGCTCTTGTTGGTGTTCACATCAAGAGAACTTTACAAAAACCAATGTTGTTTTGTTCGTATGAGTCAGTTATTCACGAGATCCCTGACGCAAGACAAAACCTTGATCTTGCTGCGAAAGTAAATTTATTTACTTGGTCAAGACAAGATCAAAGCAATCATACGCATAAGAGAAGAAAATAAAAAAATCAAATTCGCCAACGGTCACCTGGTCAAGACAAGCTCAAGGCAACTTTACACACGAAAGAAGAAAATATGAATATAGAATTCCCCTACAGTCACCTAGTCAAGACAAGATCATAACAGCTGGAAGAAGGAAAAAACAATATCAAGGCAGGCAAATGTATTATTAAAGAATTGAACGATTGGTTTTTCTTTACACCGGGATGGGTTAACACGTCTCCACTATTTTAGGCCTTCTCCACCGATGCTTCATGTGCAAATAAAAAACAAACAAAATCAAAGTTTACCTTCTTGGTACGTTTTCTTTGATCCCCTTCTTGGTACATTTTCTTTGAACCTGAACCAGATGTTAAGTTTACAGAAAATGAGAAAAATGGCTAATCAATATTATTTTACTTAATATTAATACGTAATGGAAGAAAGGTTCTACCACAGTTAACACACCACCACAGTTAACACAGCACCACAGCTAACAAACCACAGTTAACAAACCACCACAGTTAACACACCACCACAGTTAACACAACACCACAGTAAACACAACACCACAGTTAACACAACACCACAGTTAACACAACACCACAGTTAACACACCACCACAGTTAATACACCACCACAGTTAACACAACACCACAGTAAACACAACACCACAGTTAACACAACACCATAGTTAACACAACACCACAGTTAACACAGTACCACAGTTAACACAACACCACAGTTAACACAACACCACAGTTAACACAACACCACAGTTAACACAGTACCACAGTTAACACAACACCACAGTTAACACAGTACTACAGTTAACACACCACCACAGTTAACACACCACCACAGTTAACACAACACCACAGTTAACACAACACCACAGTTAACACAGTACCACAGTTAACACAACACCACAGTTAACACAACACCACAGTTAACACAACACCACAGTTAACACAGTACCACAGTTAACACAACACCACAGTTAACACAACACCACAGTTAACACAACACCACAGTTAACACAACACCACAGTTAACACAACACCACAGTTAACACAGCACCACAGTTAACACAGAACCATAGTTAACACAGCACCACAGTTAACACAGCACCACATTTAACACAGCAGTGACAGCACCACAGTTAACACACCACCACAGTTAATACACCACCACAGTTAACACAACACCACAGTTAACACAACACCACAGCACACAAATACACCACCACAGTTAACACAACACCACAGTTAACACAGTACCACAGTTAACACAACACCACAGTTAACACAACACCACAGTTAACACAACACCACATTTACTAAACTACCACAGCACACAGCACCACAGATAACACAGCACCACAGTTAACACAGCACCACAGATAACACAGCACCACAGTTAACACAGCACCACAGTTAACACAGCACCACAGTTAACACAGCACCACAGTTAACACAGCACCACAGTTAACACAGCACCACAGTTAACACAGCAGTGACAGCACCACAGTTAACACAGCACCACAGTTAACACAGCAGTGACAGCACCACAGTTAACACAGCACCACAGTTAACACAGCACCACAGTTAACACAACACCACAGTTAACACAGCACCACAGTTAACACAGCAATCTAAGCAAACCAACTTACAAGGCTTCCTAATAATCCAGAAATCCATTTATTCTTATCAATTTGTTGCTAAAAATACGTAACGTAAATTTAATTTAGCAAAAATTGACTAAAGTTCCATTATGTGATTTTTTTATTAAATTTTTTTATTGTTAAGCTTAATTTCCGCCCTGAATTAACTACATGATAAATATCCCATACATAGTTATTATTATTATTATTATTATTATTATTATTATTATTATTATTATTATTATTATTATTATTATTAACAGAACCTCGAGAATTTTATCTTTGCATTCATTAGTTCAAACAATTCTAAGACACCTTTCTTCTGTTACGTTTCCCTCGCAAATTACATATATTATTGTTACTATTATTCTATACAATACATAGTTAACAACGATATTATTATTATTATTATTATTATTATTAACAAAATCTCGATAATTTTATCTTTGCATTCAATAGTTCAAACAATACAAAGACACTTTTCTTCTATGACGTTTCCCTCGCAAATGACCGCTATTATTATTATTATTATTGTTATTTTTGGCCATTTAATTAAAGTGATACTCGGTTGGTTTTTTTAATACTACGGTGACACCTTTAAACTTATTCAAAGTTATTTAAGCCCCGCATTTAAACTCATTCATGAAACTGTTTACGTCCGTTTTCTCTAACACCGCTATTAAAGAAAACATACGTTCTTATGGACTGACTTTTTTATTTTGTTAATATGGTTGTAAGCTATCTAGCAGTTATTTTTACCTTAGTGTACTATATTTTACTTTATCTTCTTCGTCACTGATCGGCCTTTTAGCCGCTTGGGAGGTCGGCGACGTCTATGTTAGGAACTGTTGGCATTGTGGACATGTACTGGTTTTCTGTTACACATTGTTGGCAATTTGTGGTGGACATTTTCTGATGAGTTTGTTTCGTGTGTGTGTTTGTTTGTTTTAAGGGAGATTTTTATCTAATGAAGGAAAGAATATTGTAAAACTGGACTAAGACGGAGTATAATATCTGGTAAAGCAGTGGGCGGAGGTGATGGCTGCCGTGGGTGAGGCGATGGGCGGGCAGGTTCTTGTTGGGCTGAGGCACACGGCCACAACCTGTAGGTGGTGTAGTGGGTGGTTAGTAGGTGGTGGTGATTGATGGGTCATTTATGTCTCTTTCCCTTCCCTCCTTTCTTTTTTTCTCTCTCTCACACTCACTCTACCTCTTTCTACTCCCTCTCTTCCCCACTATCTCTATTTCTTACCCGTTTTAGTGCAAGATCTGGTTAGCTGTTCCATGGCAGGTGAAGTATACAGAGCCTCCGTCACCACTCACGTACAACCCCACTCCTGCGTCACTACTCGGCCTCAGTACCTTCTGCAGGAGAGGGTCGAGACATTTAGTAATTGTGGTTGGGTCGGGTGTTGTGATGGTTTGTTCACAGGTGCGGGTGTGACATCTTCTAAAAATAACTCGAACGATACCAATATACTTACAAAAACTTAACCACATTTTCACGAGCCGGGGCATTTCTGGACATATTTATTCGTCTACCTATTAATTTATGGTTCATTAGTTACTAAGTACACATCTTTATACTTCATAACAGACGACGCTCAACTCAGCGCACACCGCTTGGTAAATATCCCTAACATTCCAAGAGGACAAAGTTTTCCGTGTTGGTCATACAGTACTGTGAAAACTTCCACACTTTCTGAAAAAAAAATGGAGAGAATAACTCAAGATGGGATAATACCGTCACCCAGAAAAAACCCTGCGTAAATAACTCACACGAAGAGAAACATACAAGGACACATAACTTGAGAAAACGAGAAATATCCGACACACTCCCCAGCTTAGATCCTGTCTTCAGATCCTTAGATCTGAAGACATCAAGGAGCAAACGAAGAATAACTTACTGGCGGGATCACAGCCTTATACCAGCTATCAAACGTTACACACATCTATACAACTGTTATAAAATACACTCTGAGTAAGATGTAAAAGAGAAACAAGACATAACGTATTGATGATAACTGAACACAGGAGAGTGAAGAATATTCTACGTTGGCAACTAGCAGAAGTAACAGATGGAGTCAGTGGTGCGTACACTCCTCCCCTCCGTCAGTTTGTTTAGTGCGCGACGCTGGATAGGATGATGCGGGTATGGATTACCTGCCACACATGGGTGGTTCTACTAGACAAGTAGGCGGTGTATGAGTGACGATAATGTCAACACATACTTAAATATGGAAATGTGTACAGTATCCTGTTTTCCATGACCAACAGCCGAGGCCGACAGACATGCAGGCAACTCATATATAATCCCAACCAAAATTAGATACCAACGTGAACACTAGAGGAATACGGAATACATTTCAAAGACTAAAGAGAAATTGATGATTTTTAAGTATATACAATATATATTTGTTCTATATTTGTGCAATAATAATAATAATAATAATAATAATAATAATAATAATAATAATAATAACAACAACACGGTGTTAAGGCAAATGTTCAGTTGTCTCACACACACACACACACACACTTATCTACTATGTCTCCACGCTAATTAATATAGACTTAACGTTAAATAAAAAGTTGTACGTCTTGTGTCGCCTCCGTCAGGGTTATCAATGGAGGAGGGTTCGTCAGGAGGTCCCTTCCTGGTGGAGGTAAGCAGCAACGTGCGGGAGACGTGGGTCCTGATGGGCGTCCTCTCTCGGTTCTCCAGTGACCCGTCATGTGACCAAAGCACACAGTCTACACCCAGGTGGCTGACGGCACTAACTGGCTCAAAAATTGTGTCTTCACCAGGAACTGCAACTTGTAACACGACACCACAATGAAAAAGGGAGTTATCAATTCTTATTTATGAAATCCGTTTTGTTTGAGAATATTTATCAACACTGAAGTTTATTAAAGGAGCACATGTGACGAATTAAACTGGCTCAATTATTCGTTTTTCTTTACGATAGCTATTATTAGAGTTATCCCTTGAAAATCTGGTCCGTTTTCTTCCATAGATCTTCAGAAAACGGACCAATAAGGACCACGGTGACGTCCACATAACATTACCACTTCTGCCACGTACTGTATATTTGACAAATAATACCAGCAGAGTGGGGCAGGACAGCCAGATCCTTGACGTAATCAAGTACAAACCTTGACGATCACTACACAACTTCACATAGGTGTTGGTGGTACAGTGGTAACATGTGAATCTCTCACCACTATATCAAGGGTTCAAGTCTTCCTCAACCTAAACACATGATAGAAGGGTGTTATCCAGTATGACCCTCACTACCAAACATCACAGGTTTCTCAGACTCTGGTTTCCTTCTGTACTAACACTTGATACACCAACTGCTTGAATAGCGAGAAAGATGAGAAATGATGAAACGATAAATAAATAGTTGCCAACATACAATATTTCTCACTAGTTTGTTGCCAAGGAAATTTCTCTCTTGGTGCTAATTTAAATCTGTGATTACTCAAGACTCATCATCTATTTAAGAAAGCAAGTACATATTTCTGAAAGAGCTGAACAACAGGGAAAGGTTGTAACTTCATCCAAAAATTATTCATATATTTGTCATCTGACGTAAACATAAGCTACTTGTATCTGACCGGCAACTATCCTGATTTTCCAACTTACAAAACAAAGAAACAGTTGAGGCAGTAACACTCCGCTCATAAATTAATTAAATTAAGATGTAATATGTCGAAAGATAAACAGTACTGTCATCAACTTGCAGTACAAAGTACCTTAGATATATAGTACATGTTAATGGGCATAAATAAAATAATCTAATACCATATAAAACTATTTACTGGAAAACCTTTAGAATAAATCCATCTAAAAAAAAAAACCCATGGAATGTTTTGGAATGTTGAAATGAAATGAACAGATATGTAAAATCCTCCAATCATGCAGAACAACATTACCATTAAAATTTTCTACTGTTGACCTTCACTTTCAATTGATTTGTGCAGTAAATGAAGTTTGGTGATACAAAACTACAGTACTTATCTGACACCACTATTACACAGCTTACATAATAGCCTGGTGAGCGCTACAAGAAGAAGCCACCACGCATGATACTGAGATTCACGACTACAGTTGATGAAATTTTTGTTTATATAGAAGGTAAAATATATACATAACAACATGGACTCATCCAACCATCAGAAGATATGAGAGATGAAAGCTCTTAAATCTTCATGTTTTAAGACCAATGCACTATGGTTCAATAGTTCATAGTGCATTGTTTCTATATGCAACCAAATCTTCCTGGAAAATAGGTTTGTCCATAATCAAGGAGATGGAAGGAAGGGGTGGAGAAAACAGTGTACGTGAATGACCAGAGAGCATGGCATCAAGTGGTTTTGGGGATGTGCTGCCAATAGGGGAAGGATAAACAAGATGCTGAACATATTAGGGATATTCTTGTGACATAGAAACACCATAAGAACACATTTCTAATACACAAATTCCTTCAGAAATAACCTAAATTGGCCCACCCAATGATTACCTCTGTCAACTTTCAATTTAAGTGGCTTGGTGGCTGCAGAGAATTTTAATACATTTAAGTTTCTACACCTCTCTTTCATAAATCAATTTTAGTATAACTTGTCAGAAGAAACATCCAAATAAAATTTGACTAATATCAACCAAGGTACAGCAGTTCAAATTCAGCTAAGCAAGGAAGAACAAACAATAACTCAATACAGTCAACTTAAGTTGAAAGTTATCAACAATATACAATTCAAAATATTTAACAACTTGTGACTATCTTTATGTTCCTATGGTAGGCTTCAGTCTTAATAAGTCCAACCGCACTAAGCCGTTGGATTAGCTTTCATAAGGATTGAGGCCTATTATTTCTGGGGTCTAAATCAGGATGGTTTTGTTAGGGATGGTTTAAGTTTGAGCCCATCTGACCAATCAACATGTTACTTGAAACTTATTACAATATATACTCACTTAAATAATGTCTTACCTGAGCAAAATGCACAGTACAATATAAAGATTACTAATATATATACATATACATATCTGAAATAAACCTACATATGCATGTTTTTTATAAATATATAAATCTATTGCCTCCCCCCAAAATTCTCCACATAAATCATAATTATACCAATATTAAAACAGGACCCGACTTAGCTATAAATTTCAGAAAATATACTAAAACAAATCTAACAATACAGATATCTTACAGGTCGTGTACATCTTTTTCTTTTACCTGCTAGACTTGCTGACCTTATGAGCTCACACCAACACAGGTCAAAACTTGGTGATGGGAAATAATGTTGCTGTTATCATCAGTTAAAATTTTTTTCCACAATAATTCTGAATTCTCATTGATATATATACTGTATTAAGAAACTAGTGTCATATAGAGGATATAAATATTTCCATAATACCAGTCTAAAGAAATGCATGCATCCTGTCACTAGCTAAACTGTACATATAATCTTAAGCTTTGGTAGAATACACTATGTTCATTTATAACAAACTACATCAATGCCTAAACCAGTCTACTATCTACCTATAATATATTATTTCTTAATATTCCACTTCGGTCAATCAAGTCCCACTTCTATATATTAATGATTTTCATTTCTACCAACTTCCAGTTACATGAGATAAATTTTGCTGCTCTGGATCTGTTGAAAAGTAATCAAAATCCATTCATCTTCAAGTCAACAAACAGCCTACCATGTGAGAATCTCTTTCGTCATATTAGGAAATACAGAATAGCGGTACTGGTGTCGTTATTACTGTTGTTATTTTGATGTACCGGTACTGTATTAACTCAAAAGAGGAGAAAATAGGATAGCACAGAGTTATGAAGTCACCATGACAATGACAACCACTGTACTGTGTGAGTTTCTGTTTGACCGACACTTTAGCGGAGACTTATAGTTCACAGGGCTCTAACAACAGATTCTCGTAACTGGGAAATGACTGATTGTGGGTCCTCAGCCTTTACAACAGCACTGCCGGACACGATCATGTTTGCACCAGCCTGGAAAATGTAAAATACAGTAACATTAGTTTTAAGAAATCTATGAGTTATGCTATTTTACATGCAAGCATTTATAAAAATTAAACACATAAATCGCTAAAAAAATTATTCATTACTGTATTTCAATAGCCATGGCAAATTAATTTTCAATTATAATAAGCAGATGGGCCATTAAATAGTCTGATACAGTATATACTATACTGTACTGTATTAATTAGTTATACTGGCATCCCTTGACATATGATCTCATGACTTACGATTCTTTGGTTCATCAATTAAATTTTTTTTAACAACCTACTTCACTATGCAATTGGACTTTCATGGATTAACCAACGCTGTGACAGGGACTCAAAAGATTATCACTCCCTAGAGGCTCTGTGTACATTCCCCTCTTCATTTGTCATCTCATAATGGCCGTCACACTGAGAAACACATTCATTGTCCTCGGTTCAGGGAAGGGCTACCTATGCACTGCTGCCTAAATCTTTCTTCTTGAACCAGAACCCATGTGCACTGGAAATGTTTTTGTTCACTCGCAGCTATTAAGCCACTTGAACTGACAACCTGTTATACTGTAAAAGATTACACTACGGTGTTTATGGACTGCAATTGACAACCATAGTGAGTTTGTTGTCATTTTCTAGTGAATTCAGTGGCTGTCAACTTTAAAATGACTGGGAAACGTGCAGGAGACTATTTTTACGTAGCACATATTTTACCATTTTCATGATAAATTTACAGCGTATGGACTGCATGGTGGCATTGAGTTGCTTTAATATTGTGATTTTTTGGGGCCTATTAGGGTTGATAACTCCCACTTTGGCTGACTCCTGGAATGTACTCCTATTGTCATCATGCTAAAACATCCTCAATACCTGTATGTGCTCGTTCATTAAACAATTGGTTTTCAGGAATGCATACCGTTCACAATATCGAGAAATGTCTATATTGCTACAGATTTTCTCTCAATACAGTAAAGAAGGTACAGGTTAGCTTAAATTAAACCTCTTGTTGTTTTACATATTACTAAGGGAAGTACCGGGGTATTCACATCCCTTACAAAGAACTTCCCGTCACAAAAATTAATACAACCAATTATCATCGTCAAGAGGCTCTGGGAATGCCTGCTGTATGATGTTGAAATGCCAGATATTGTGTGAGAACCCCATCACCTGTAACCGGTCTTAGCAGAGGAGGTACCAGTAATCTAAGTGACAGGGGAGGTAACTTAAGTGAGAGAGGAGGAGAAAGCAGAAAAAATACATGAACAGTAAATGGAATAAGGAAGCTACGAATGTAAATAATCCAGAGATATGACAGAGAAACGCCTCAAAATATAACAGGATGACAAAACAGAGCAAAACTAAGTTTCAAGGTGGATTAATACATTATAAATCAACAACAATGAGCAAAATATGCTACACATTATCCTGATTTCAAGTATTAGACAGTGGGTACTCCATAGCCTTAACCTAATAACACCTCATGTACAAACTTCCTCAAACTAATTTACCTTGGCACATGCATCAATAGTCGAGAGTCCAACTCCTCCGTCAACTTCTATGTCCATGTCGGGAAACTTTTCACGGAGATATTTGACTTTTGGCATCATGTCAGCCATGAATTTCTGACCTCCAAAACCTGGTTCGACTGTCATCACCAGTATCATGTCTGCCAAGTCAGCATATGGCATGACTGACTCCACTGGGGTGCCTGGTTTAATTCCTATGCCAACCTGATGAATATACATATGTACAGTACATACAAGCATATATACTGTTAAAAGGCCAAGAATAATTAATATATACAGTACAGTATATACTGTACTGTACATATTAATTATCAATAACCCAAATCCAAACGCCAAATAAATGCTCATAACTAAGACAATGATTAAAACGTATGCCTTCATTGGCTCCAGAATGTTGAAGTCTAAAGGCTAAGAGAAAATTCAAAATGCATTAACCAATCAAACAACTCTGTTACGCGAGTTAATATTGATATTGAAACAGTTTATTTAGCTAGAAGAACACAGATACAGAGTCGATAATAATAACAATATTAACATGGCTAAGCCAGTTGAGAGCCTGAGCTCTCTTGAAGGCACATGATATAATCTGTACACTTATCTCAAGGAATAGTATACATAATATGGTGACAGTAAGAACATATCAGAATGTTACTGCGGTTATCACTTCGTTATTTATTTATTTTTTAAAGTGTGACTATTGCTTTTGGTAGCAGTCATCAAGTGCTGTGACATATACATAAGAAGGCCTGCAATTGTAGTGTTTACATTTAAATAATATCATTGTTATGGAGTTTTAACCAAGTCTTGTTACCTATATCACATTAAAATAACCTAGGTAAATAATGTATTGGTAAGGTGGTTAAATTTTCAGTCATTAGCTTAGTTGATCATTAAAAAAAAATATACTGGAAAAATATGTAAACACAAAAATATCTTAATTATTTACCTACATGCTACTGACAGTTACAACATGTCATACCTTCATTCCCGCTTCTTTTATTTTGCGGGCCAAGGTGGGAGCGTCCTTTGTTGCCTCGATGTGAAACGTGTACTGGTCAGCCCCTGCATCGGCCATTGGCTCAATCCACTGAAAATGTTCAAAATGTTATCACATAAACCAAATCAAATCTACTACACTTACACACAATTCTCCGGTCTGTCAAGTAAGATCCAAAGAAAACAAAATTATGTAGTGTATATGAAAGCATTATCTGGTAAAGCTAAATTTAACAACTGTGGGCTTTAGGGATCCATTGTAATATAGCACTTGATATCATAGTTAAGCTGCAGCACGAGTACAATTATACAAAATATAAAAAAATCAAGGAAAAAACAACAACCAATGCAATAGAGTGTAAACTACTTGTAATATAGATGAAAGTTTACATATACTGTATAATCTTCCAAGTTGCATCAATATGGACATGAGCTTAATTATCAGAGACAACACCAGAAGTTCCTTATGATTCACAGTAAATGGATGAAATTCAGAGATAGAAGCCCAATTTCCCTGTTTCCTCTAAAGAATGAAAATGCTATCTCAATACTGAGGCATCTGTCCACACAAACAGATCTCCTCCTGGATGTATCCAAAAAACCTCTGATGAAAGATGTGAGAATACAGTACAGAAAAGTCTGAACTTGAAAGACCTTTCCTTGTGATGTCATACACAACTAACACCAGTGGACATAACTTCAAGCTTGCCAAGTTATCATGTAGAATGAACATAAGGAAATACAGTACAGTACTTCTTCACACAGAGGCTGATAGATATATGGAATGGGTCTACCAGCCCAAGCTGTGAAGTCATGAGCAGTACTGGGCTTCAAAACAGCCCTTGACAAAATTATCAAGAACAATGGAGGGATCATACACAGGCCCCTGGCCTCCTTCCCTTGACATGGCCACCCCTAGTGGGTGGCCATTAGGTAAACAAGCTAAGGTAAATATTCTAAGAATCACCCATAAGATAATTTACCTGCTCTGGATCTGCCACCATCATATGCATGTCAAAAAATGCTTTTGGAACCTTTGGTCGCAAGCATTTAACAAGAGGATGACCAAAGGTGAGGTTTGGAACAAAGTGGCCGTCCATCACATCCAGATGAAGGTAATCAGCTCCACAGTCCAGCATCTGTCATCAAGCAATAACAAGTGATTTTTATCAATAATCATAATGATACACTTTACATCTACCATCCTATGTCATCCATAACATAAACTTCACTTCATAATCAACCATGAGTAATAATATTCTTTAAAACTTCTGTTAAGTAAGATTTATGGTTGGTACTTTTACAGAGGATTTCTCAGTACAGTACATTGTAGTGTGTTCACATATGCTATACCTTAACACAGGCCCCCTCTAAATTTGAGAGGTCAGCATTCAAGATTGAGGGGCCAATCTTGCACTTCACTTGCTTCTGTTGTTCACACATGGCTGAGGCCGAGTCTGGCAATAAAAAAAAAATAGTTAGGGCCATCACAAAATATTTTTAGTCGCTATTAAGTAAACAGGGTAAGGTAGAACATGGCACTAAGATAGATATATATATAAATAATAAAAAATAAATAAATTAACTGACGATGTAAACAACTGTGGGGTGCTGTTATCTGTATGTATATTTAACACAATTCTGAGTATTTTTAACCATATGGTGATCACAGCCTAAGATATTATAATAATAATAATAATAATAATAATAATAATAATAATAATAATAATAATAATAATAATTAACGGTTTATTGAAAGAGCTTGGCAGCCATAAGGCTGAAAACATACAGTTACATATTTGGGGAATGGGTTTCGAATTACAAATAATATACAAGTAACATAAGTGACACAAATAAGATATATAATAACTAGATGGGGAAAAGCTCAAACTACAGGGCATTTCAACTATACCATGTTTATTTGTCCATATGCTGTGCACTGTATGTATTTTTAGATCACCTGAACATTAGCTTATTTCACCTTGAGATTAACCACCCTAATGTTAACTTAACTTTATCTAATCTAATCTAACCTAATAAAAATAGTCTACTCCAACCTAACTTTCCCTAATCCTCCCCCCCCCCAATCAGGTGAAATAAGCTAGAAATGGGAGCTTATCTTTATCGAATCCATATTTTTTTTCATAGTGGATATAGGTACGGCAGCCGTTGTGATGGACTGTGTTGTTAATGGTAGGCTGTCCACCATGCCGTACCTGCCTATTTTTTCCTTTGGTAAATACTCTCTAAGGCGGTCCGACTAATTACCCAAATGTAGCAAAATGTAGCCGCAATGAAGTCAAATAATGGTCCTACATGAATAAATCGGACTGCTAATCACTTCTCGACTAGTATTTGGTGTCACAGTCACAAAAAATTGGAAAACTTAATTGATGTTGTAGCGAGTAATTTCCCAAATGTACCCAAATGTAGCCGCAATGAAGTCAAATGATGGTCGTACAAGCGTAAATCAGGCTGTGAATCACTTCTTGATTATTATTTGGTGTCATAAGGTCACAAAAAATTGGTAAACTTAATTTAATCTGAGTTGTGTTGTGTTAGGTTAGGTTAGGTACATGCACTTGATCTATTAACTCAGATTAAATTAAGTTTACCAATTTTTTGTGACTTCATGACACCAAATACTAGTTGAGAAGTGATTGCCAGTCCGATTTATTCATGTAGGACCATTATTTGACTTCATTGCGGCTACATTTGGATAATTACTCGCTCCCTCGGTACATGCACGCGATCTATTAACTCAAATTAAATTACGTTTTCCAATTTTTTTTTACTTTGTGACACCAAATACTAGTCGAGAAGTGATTGCCAGTCCGATTTATTCATCTAGGACCATTATTTGACTTCATTCCGGCTACATTTGGGTAATTAGTTGGACCCCTCTAAGGTAAGGAATTAAAGACCCAACCAAAATAAACAAACCACAGTAGTGTAATAATAGCTCTCGTAGTTAAGTTTAGTCCACAGTCACCATTCCTACAATACCTGAAGCATTACCAATCATCTTTCATTACTCCAGTATAATTATTTCCTACATATGGGGTTGAGGCCTCGGAGTGGGGGACCTGAGTTTAGACGTGATCAGTCCACAATATAGCCAGATAACACAACTAACAGGGGCAATAAACTAAGAATTACAACTTTCTCGTCTCCAACACACAGAATTTCGTTGGCAGTTCACTATCTTTGACCACTTTCACTAATGATAACTCACATAACTCTCCTGTCGGTTTAAACGTCCTTGTCGACACAGGGGGGAGGGGGAAATGAACTTGAATAGATTATTGCATTTTTTTGCCTCTTACTTTTCTAGATAAATAAAGTTTTAAAGTAATTTGGACTTAAAATATAGCTATTTATCATTCTCTAATATCCATTACAGAATATTTGCAAGAAAGTTCATACCTTCAGAATTACTCTAAATCCCCCACTGTCTGTGAGTGCTGAGGTGGTGTACTATGTTGGAGACTCACCACGGCCGTTAAACCTTATTCTAAAATTACATACTTTACTCCGGCAATTAACGGCTCATTAACCGCTTACGGCCATAATTACCCTAGTATTTGACTGTCGTGTTCCCATACACAGTAGGCGTCTAGTCAATAAAATGTTAAAAAACTTCACGACCAAAGCTACTAATTGTTTCCCCTTCTCAATACAAGTAAACCAACCTAAAAGCATATACAGGTATATATCAATTTGATTTAAAGCTCATTGGGTTGAGTGATATGCATATAATTTGATTTGAAAATTAATAAAGTTTTGGGTAAAAAGTGTTTTGATCGTGGTACTGTTCTAACGTTGGTGGTTATTTTATAGATGGTGACCTTCTGTACTTCCATCAGTATTAACTAAGATAACTACTGTACAGGAGGCGGCCAAGATAACTGTGTTGAGTAGCCCTGACTTAGCAAGATCCACCGTCCATTAAAATGTTGAAGGTAAATATCTTATGCCTGACACTTAAAAACACCGGCTTTAACTGTGTTTTTTTTTAAGTTGTTTGATGGAGGAATAACGTAGAGATTAATGCAACAAGCAAAAATGATTAATTTCATGAATGGGACCTACCCCATGGTATGTCGATGTCATAATAGGATGTTCATTCAGGTGGTACAGTACAGGATGTCTGTTAAGGGTGGCAGACGACACGGAAAAAATTGGCCTTTATATAAGTCTATGACATTCTTTTCACTCCTTAAGTTACTTGGCTTGTGTAGTATGTATGATGCAGGGTGCCTCACAGCTAGTCTCTTCTGTGGAAAGTAGATACTGTTCAGTTGTGAGATACATTAGCTGCATACTCCCGGAGGCAAACACCTTATTTAATAATATATTATGCAATCCCCAGGTCAGTAGGAGGGCGGGGAGAATTTAGGGTGCTATGGTACTATAGTGTGCAGTCTACAAAGATGTCTACAGTCTAACCTAACCTAACTTAATCTAAACCTAGTCTAACCTAACCTGACCTAACCTAACAACAATTTGTTTCCTGTTTCCAATGCCAATTCTTATCATCAGGGTCTCGTGTCGGTCGTGACTGGCAGTGCTTCAGGTCTGGGTCGAGCCACTGTGGAGAGGATCGTCCGTGAGGGTGGCCGGGCTGTGATCTGTGACCTGCCTACCTCACAGGGTGCTAAGGTGGCAGAAGAAATAGGGGACTCTGTTATCTTCGTACCAACTGATGTAAGTACAGTATCTTTAGCTTATTCATGAGAGTTTAAGGACACATAACCTAAAGTTTACTTCGAGAAATTGGCTGTGATAAATAATTGTACATCACTGACATAGTGGTCACAGCTCAGGGGTCCAGAGTTATTTCAGTAGTGTTCTTTAGTTTGGCGTGTAAAGTAATCATTATGCAGTGTGGTCAAACCAGGCCTATGAGGGTTTTCTCTTCCCATATGCATTCCACTGGATAAGCTCTCAAAAGTTGCATGCTTAATTTCTCTTATTAGCTTTTCCCGTAAAACATCAAAATTTCTGGTTAAATGGTAGAATAACAAATATTTTCTGTGGTCATATTTGTGGTCATTGTTGCATGTGTGTAGCTTAAGGAAGATTTGTTTAATGTGTTGCAGAGTACTCAACTGATATTAAAAAGATGACTTAGTGAAGAACTTTTTTGTTGTTTTCAATAACACACAATTGCAGGGTCTCAATTGTTACTCTTACTTTGTCAACACAACATACGTAATGTATATCTTTTCTATTTCTTGATTTATTTTTCTCGTTTTTGTATTTATTTATGGTTATTATTATTATTATTTTCAGTATATTATTTTTATTTTTAGTACAGGTATTTTATTGTTTTTTTAATTATTATAATAATTATCATAGTCATTATCATTATTACATTTTCGCCCCCCAGGCCCTGATGTGGGTCAGTGACCTGTGCCCGGGTGGGCTAATCCCCATTAAAAAAAAAACTCTGCCTGTACAGTGTAATATTCTCATTATTTCACTGTTTGATACTTTGCTTTCTTTATTTTGCAGCGCTCTGATTTACCCCCATTTATTGCATTAAGTAATTGATCAAAAGTGTAGGCAGACAGTACAGCACCCATATCAATTATCAATGACTCTATTAATACAGAGATTTTATTCCATCATCATATTCTTGGCACAGTGTTAGCCATTTTGGACTCTCATGCAAAACCAGGTGATAACATGGATAGAAATGGCTTCCAGTGTAACTTGGTTTGGGATGTAAGCCAACATGGTCTCGTATCAATTTGGTAATCGGTGTTGTCCATACTGTACTCATTTTGGTATAGTCATGTCCTGTTTTGTCTTCAAGACTTCGTTAATTGTTGTCTTGTTCAGTTGGACTTTACTGTATAGGTTTTATCTTTTTCTTACATATTCCTGTCTTGGTTTTTGGTTTTTATTTAATTTTACTTCATTTTGGTCCAGATTGAGTAGACCTTGCCCACTTACTACGGTACTGTACATTGCAGTAATTATTGTTTTGCAGGTTTCATCTGCCTCTGATGTGGAGAATGCATTAGCAGCGTGCAAGGACAAGTTTGGCCGACTCGATGTGGCCGTCAATTGTGCTGGGATAGGCATAGCTGTGAAGACATATAATCATAACAAGAAATTATCACATTCATTTGAAGATTTCATGAGGGTTCAGACGGTATGTTTATTAGTTTTATTTAATTTTTTATCCTTTCTCTAAAATTCTTGTTAGGTTTATGAAATTTTGTTACATTAGAAAACAAGATTTGTAATGGTATTCACAAGTGAGGAAAGTGACTACAAATTATTGATGAAGGGAAACTTGATTAGTTGGAAGAAGTGCACTCTGTGGTAGCTATATGAGAACATTTACTTAAAACTCCAAGATTTTACTTAATCCTCTTTGTCACTTGGTGTAAATTACTAGGAGGTCAGGTGGTCGATCAGTTCTGTTACACACTGTTGGCAAATACTGTACTAGGTATTTATTGGTTCCCCGTTGTGCCTGAACATGTTCCAGTGTCTTACAAGTCTTAATTGTCACTAATGTGTAGGATGGATTGAGAGGTTAAAAAAAAAATTCAAGAAAAAAATAGAAGAGTGAAAGCAAGAAAAGAGGATTGGGATGAGTCCATGAGCTTTGTATTTAAACACAGATACAAGTACAGTACTTTTAGTTTTGATATATTTGGTGTTGGACTTTAAAAGATTAACACAAACATGGAATATTACATACTGTACATAGGGAACTGTTCTGTACTGTATTATACTATTACTTGATAAAGCATCAAATAGCATTATTTAGTAGACAAAAGAATGTCACTAAAGTTAGATATGTCAAACCCTCACAAGTGTGGAAAATGACTGTAAAATGATGATGATGATGCTATACATTTTACAGGTTAATTTGGGAGGAACTTTCAATGTCATCCGGTTGGCCAGTGCTTTAATTGCTGAGAATGAACCAAATACTGATGGACAGCGAGGAGTTATAATAAATACTGCAAGTGTTGCTGCCTTCGATGGTCAGATTGGCCAGGCAGCGTACTCCGCCAGCAAAGGAGGCATTGTGGGTATGACTCTACCTATTGCTCGAGACTTGGCACCCGTGGGCATCAGAATTTGTACCATTGCACCTGGTAAGTGAACAAGTTCTTGCGTCATTGATTTAAAGTAACATTTGTTCAGGTTATTTTTTGTTTAATGTATTGTTGTCAAAGTTAAGAAATATATATTCCTTTTTGGATGGGGTGATTTGATTAGGAGAAGAGAAGGGCTAATGAGCACTAATTGCAAGTAGGGAATGATAAGAGAAGGGAGGAATAGAGAGAGATTAGAAGTGAGGAAAATAAAATTAGGAAAGAAAGCAATATAAGAGTAGGTGGAGGATGGGGTTAAGAATAGATGAAGGATGGACAGAAGAATGATCATACAAGAATGGAGGAGGAGGAGGGGTGGGATATATTGTGGTTAAAGAAGAACTAAAAGGGAGATGGGTAAAATATGTACAGTGCGCTGAGGAAAAACTGGGATGGGGTGGATATAGCCCTTTAACTGTGAGGATGTCTCTTGATATTTTGACTAATGCACGATGATTTTATTCAGCACAGAGAGGACAAGGAGTTAAAAGAGAGTGAAAAGAGGACTTAATTAGGATTTCCAATGTAGAAGGAGGATTATACAGGTATTAGGATTTGAAATGTAGCTTTGATGGTTCAATATTTATCTAAAATTAGGGTAGTAATAGAGATGAGGGTAAGAGCAGTGGATTGGGCTTAAAGTTTGGTCACTCATGATACTAAGGTTTGGTCACTCATGATACTAAGGTTTGGTCACTCATGATATTAGATACAAATGGAAGAGAGGTCAGCTGTTATTTGCAGATGATCCAACTCTTAATGGGCTATACAAGAAAAGTTGTTACAGATGTTTTGAGTGAACTTGGAAGTGTGTGTACTTGGAGAAAGTTAAATGAATGTGAGCAAAACTGATGACAATAAGTAAAGGAGGAAGAATGTTTACTTAAATTGAGATGTTTCAGAAACCTAGATAGTGGATAGAATAAGAAGTGAGGAACCGAGTCAGAGTAAAAGAGAGGAAACAAGTACAGATGTAATGGGTGTATTGAGAAGTATATGTCGAGAGAAGTGTATCATACAAGACAAAGATGAACTGATTATTATTTGGATGTGCAAGAAATGGGAGCAAAATTAAAACTGACATTCTGTGCATAAGAGGAGTAAGTGGGATGAATAAATGGAGAGAATTACACAGAAAGGAGGAGGAGGAGGAGAGTTGAAAGTAAAATAAAGTGTTGGGCAGAAAGTAGATCAAGTGAAAAATTGGTCAGTTAAGAATATAATTGAGTGGTGGATTGAAGAAGAGAGAAAGGAAACACAAATGAGAAGTGACTGGGATGGTGTTCAAGAGAATGGTGGTGTCTTATTTTCCTGCCACTTTCAATACAACATCTGTTTATGCCAAAAGCTGATTGAATTTTTTTTAACCTTTCTACATATTTAGCTATACTATACTGTACAACAAAAATGGCTTTATTATTTTTTTTCAACATTATCATCTCAATTTTCATTATGTATTACTATTTATTTTATTTTTAGGTTTGTTCAAGACACCGCTGTTGATGAGTCTGCCAGAGAAAGTACAGAACTTCTTGGCCAAAACTGTGCCATTCCCACAGCGTCTGGGTGACCCCGATGAGTATGCAATGATGGTTCAAGCTATCATCACAAATCCCATGATGAACGGCGAGACAATACGTGTGGACGGAGCCATACGGATGCAGCCTTAAATTACATGATCTTTGGCTTTTTTCACACCAGAATTGTATAGTAGCAGTAAAAGTATCCTTATATACGATATAATGAAAGGACTGACCTGATAAGAGAGAGTGGCATCAAGCAGACAACAACTTTATATATAGCTTTATAATTTTTAGTACAGGTATAGGCAGTTTTTTCATGGCAGGGGATACAGACCAATTGTTACTCCATAACCAAGTCTCTTGTGTGATTTAAACTATTATTTGACTCTATTATGTACTGGGAAATTTAAACTGCAAGAAATAATATTAACCAAAATTATACTGTATATTATACATTAACACTTTCCTCTACTTAGATGAAATATTTTGGAACTGGATGTATATACTTAGCCTACAGGTGATGGTGGTGGCATAAAATGGACATATCCTCAAGTTTAGACCAAGTTTGAACACAAGAACCTGTATGGCTTGTGAACATTCTGAATTTTAACATTTATGCTTATGAGTACTGGGTGTACAAAGTGTCAACAGAATTAAATAGCACGGAATTTTGCTTAGCGTAAATTGTAATTGTAAATCATACTATATAAAGCTATTACATTTCTGAATTGCAATATTACTGCAGTTGGAATGTGTGGAATCAAACAATGTTTACTGTGTTAACTATGGTGAAGGTGAAAGTTGTTTTAGGTTTGGTTGTTAATTATCATCACCTATTACAAAAACGTATTACTATTATGGCTGTCAAAACTTGTATGAAACATGGGATATCTCATGAGTGTTTTGATATTCTGATCAAACTGTGGCAGAATTAACAACTATGTAGTCTTATGTACTCTAGTGGGAAATGTGTTGAGGCCTACAGTTCTGAACACAGCTATAATTACTATTTTTGTTTTGTTTTCCTGTAAGTTCATTATCACTGCTGCTCAAGGTGGTAGGATCAACATTTGCTCTCTTATACAGTTCTATATTACCTTGAACTTTTTCTACATGTGTTCTGTATTTAATCTCTATTTACACTAACTGTAAGACACTAAGTGAAGGCATAACTAATGTGTGTAATAAGCAATGGGCAACTACTGTACTGCAAAATGTCACTACACTACTTACAAATGTTCAGTATTTTTTTAATAGGAATATTTTTAGATGGTTTTGTAAATATAAATATAGTGTAGACTAAAACCTGCTTCTGATATTACTTTACACAAAAAGTGTAAGATGATATTTTACATTTCTCATACATGTACAGTACTGTACTTGATTTTCAGTAACCTAAATAAGAAGAAACTAACTAAGGTACAAAGTTATCTCGATTGTCAGTACATCTGTTGGTCTTGCATTCTAATTTTGCTGTGTTGGAATGATTTTAAGCCACCCATCTTTTTGTCTGAGCTATAATATATTACAACCATATTGTATGTACTGTGTATACTAATGATCCAAAAATTTTGAAATAAAAAATAGCATTTCTTTAATATTTTAGTTACTTTTGACAAATAACATCTGTTGTATGGCCAGTATAGCAGGGGATTTTGTGATAAATTTGTAGTATTATATTCTTTGACATTACAGGTACTGTAATTTAAATCGGACTTTCAGCGATTAATCCAACATCAAAACATATTTGGTATCTTTTTCCAAAATTTATTCTCAATAAAAATTAATTTGTGAAATTTACACAAGAGACTAAGTCTTTCTTACCCAAGTAATGGTATAATAGCACCAGGTAATCACTGAACATTTTCTAAAGTAACTACTTTGAGCTCATGGCAGCCCCTTGATGATACAGTAAATAAAAACCCTCAAATTATCAGCACAGATAATTCAACATCTATACATATACAGTACAGTATTATTTGGGTTGTCTTAACTGACCAGTGGCAACAAAGAAATTTTTATATTTACCGTATATACTTTATTAATTTTATGGTATAATGTTTATTTGAAATCTTAGGAAGCAACACTATTCCCTGTAAATCATTTATAACCAATATTTCGAGATGGACAATGCAGATCAAGTTTTATCTGAAATTTACCCAAACTGAAAAGTGCTCAGTTGCTCTACCATTCTTGTGGGAAATGATCCTCGTAAATTCTGCACTAACAACGATGTCAAATGTCTGCAGAAAACAACTTTGGTTATATCAGAGATTATCAATGTTTACCAGATAAATATTGGATAATTACAGGTTTAGGGTTATTACAGATGAACTATACAGTACATGCAGGGCCGGATTTACCGATAGGCCAAGTAGGCCATTGGCCTAGGGCCCACCAGTATCTGGGGGCCCACTGAAACTAATTTGTCGCGCAGTGTGCCAGCGTATAACCTTGTTTCAAGTGTACACCGAGTATTTCATTATATATATTCACAACCATAAGGGCCCCTGTACAATAAGTATAGGGCCCACTGGGCCCAGTGGGCCAACCTTTGGGGGCTCACTGATGAGTTTGGCCTGGGGCCCACAAGTAGGTAAATCTGGCCCTGAGTACATGTCTAACTATTTATACCTTTGAGTGTGATGTTTAAAATTTTTTATGTAAACAAAATATAAACTGCCACTAAAAACGCATAAAATGAACCAGGTCTTAAATGACATCACTTGTGAGAAGGGAGAGATCAATGTGCCTTCATCACATTGTATCATTACAGTATCCTATCATTACAGATTATTGTAAAGTTTCTGAATGAAGAAAAAGCATTTAAATATTATTAGATATAGTAGCTGGTACATGAGGCAGGCAAGGTAAATACATTCCATCACTGTTGAAATAGTTTGGATTTGTCAGTTCTTGTACATGTATTCGATTTAGGAATAGGTAGTACACTGGACGTCCATGTCCATGTGTTGTAGAGCAAAAGACAGGTTACTGGGGACTTTCAGGAGAAGGTGGAGCTATCACATCAGCCTCCAGCATGGCTGCCATTAGACTGAGAGCATGTTTATTTGACTGGCAGGAGAGGGCCTCCTGAATATACAGTACACTGGAGATAAGGACTTAGGATTGTTCAGACCATGTGGGAACAAGGTCCTCTGCATATTCTACTGGGCTCTGGTAGAATGTTGCAAGACTTTTCCTGACCACCTTGTTGAGGTGCCCCATGGTTCCCATGCTCATTTAATGGTTAATACTGTACGAATCAATGTCAAAATTCACTTTGAGCACATTGTTAAAAGGCAACTAGATCATCTCTGGAGGACTGGTATTGGTGGAGAGGGTCAGGAGTTGGATCCTCTTTTGAATGACATACCATCCTCCACTGTGTTCTCTTCTGCCTGAAGAATGTATTTACAAAGGGTCCTGGCATAAGCTTCAGAGCAGCGTTTGATGTATGACCAAGATTGTAGAAATTGCATGTGTGGAGTTCAACAGGGAGGAATAGAAATCATCAGGTGACTCCCAAGTCGGACATTGGGAGAAGGTTGGCATGTATGATATGTAGGTTGGGCAGTACAATACTTGGGAAGAATGGTGAGGTGGGTATGGTTATGTATAGGGGGAGATATAGTGAGTAGTGAAGGCTGAGGGTAGCATGGTTGGAGAAGAGGGTAGGAATGGATGTGACCTTCACCTAAGATGCCACCAGTCGAGATGTAAAGATGTGACCGCTGGTGCCTCCACGAGCATGAGTTACATCTCCAGTAATCAGTACAGTATCCCAACACCTGAATGAGCTGATAATGTCGGATATACTTGTAAAGATGATTCCTATTTTGATATGGATTAGGAGATACAATAAGCCCCCAACGTAAAGAGGATGAGCACTGATTGTTGCCGTGTAGATAATACCAGCAGATCCAGGAATATCAAAAGGGGGGCCCAAGAAGTTTAAGGTGGGGGAACATGGTGAGCAAAGTGAGCCCACCCAGCTGTAAGCCCCCCGAAATTTTTTTGAAATATGGCCAATAACTTGGACATTTTGAGGACATGTGCACTTGATATTAGGGGATATTCTGAGGTCAACAGTAATTAATTTTTACTATACAAAAATGCCTGAGTACAATACTGCATTAAAGAAAAAGTATTGTAATTATCTGATGAAAAGGGGGATCTGGAGCACCAGGACCCCCTCCTGGATCCGCCCTAGGAAAGGCAGGAGCAGGGAGAGCAGAGGTTTATCCTGGCGGGGGTGGAGCAGACATTACACACAGGGATCTTGCAGCCAGTCACTGCTTTTTCAAGGAGTTGGAAGGTCATGTCAACATCTTCAGAGCAGCTAAGAACTTGATGCAATAAAGAAGGATGAACGTAGCTGATGAGGCCATTCCTGGCAAGATGAAGATAACAACTGGATGATGGTGATAAACATAACCGCTGGGTGTTGTAGTGAGTTTCTTATAATTTCTGACCCCCACACGACAGGCATTCAATGAGATAAAGTAATGTGAAATGGTATCCATGAGTATTGAAGGCTTGCTTATTTTCACTAGAACCAGATGTTGCATTGGAAATTTACATAGCAACATCAACAAGGAAAAATAGACTATAGCAAAGGCATTTTTGTATTGTAAAAAGTAATTACTATTGACCTCAGAATATCTCCTAATACCAAGTGCACATGGCTTCAAAATGGCCTCAAAATGTCTACGATATTGGTCAGATTAAAAAGAAAAAAAATCATGAGGGGGGGGGGGGGGCCAAAACAGCGACCCCCCCCCAACCTGGGTGGGCTCGCTTTGCTCGCCATGGTCCCCAACCCAAAACTTCTTGGACCCCCCTTTTTATATTCCTGGATCAGCCCCTGTACAATTGACAATATCCGGCAGATGTCAACACGTAACCTCAAAATAATACAGTATACCTGTACATACAGTACTGTCACCCCGTCTGGTCCCCGAGATATGCAAGGGACTGCCAGTTGATTGAAAAGTTCAAGGGAGGGCCACCAGACTGGTGCCTGCACTTCGGCACCTCACTGATTTCAGCAATCTAGAGAGATTAGAGCGCCTGCAACTGCCTAGCTTATACTGCAGATGGGCAAGGGGTGACCTAATTGTGGTGCATAAACATCTCAAAGGGCACTATATACTCAGTCGAGTGTCCACAAGGGGTCACAGCTCAAGGTTAAAGAAGCCTTAAGTCCAGAAAACTGTAAGGGTAAACTTTTTAGGGGTGAGAATTGTGAACTCTTGGAACAATCTACCAGAAAGTGTTGTAACGGCACCGAGTGTGAGCTCTTTCAAGACCAGACTTGACCAACACTGGAGCAGGTTCAGGTACATTCAAGAGCCGGTACATGCCCAGTACTTGCCAACAGTGCGTAACAGAGACGTGACAGATCGCCCAAGCGGCTAACGAGCCGATCATTTGGTGAAGAGGCTAAACGTAAAAGTATTATCTTGCTTCTCAGGTCCGCCCACTCAGGACGTCACATTCTTTGCCACGAAATACCATGGATTCGAACCCCATGAACAAAGCTTCTATACCAGGAGTCATGGAGCTGCCAATTCAGTTTGTCGGAATCCTTAATTATGTAACTCAGTTTATATATATATTGTCTTGTTAGTGATCCATAAGTTGTAATATTTCTTCCCTGACGTAAATTATTCGTAAAGGATGATAATTATCATCCTTTACGAATGCTGTTTCAGACGGAGGTGCTATAAATTGCACCACAAAGTATCTAGGGCGCCAGAATTAAAATTCAGCACTCCTCTGGTAAAATTTGGTTCCCGCGGTACAGTGAGTAAGATGCCTCGAGGCTGCAGTAAACTTGAAAATGAGATAACCTACACCACGGTAAATATTATTTTAAACCACATGAACTTAAATTATGGCAGATATTAAATGGTTATGGATATACTACCCACCCAGTAGCCTACCATCGAATTTAATTTTGATTGCACAGACTGGGCAGGGCTTGGAAGTAGGGGAAATATGTCCAGTAAAACCTGCAAACAACAGACTAAACCAAAACAATAACCTTACCTTATTGAACAGATGGAGATGGGTAAAGTTATGATACTTGTAGCAGGAAGTGACGCAGTAGTGCTGGTAACGTTGACACGAAGCATCCAACTTCTGATATCCTTCTACTACCGTTCAGTAGTTTGCGTATGATCCACAATTTGTGGACCACAAAGTTCCACGAGTATAAACGACTTAACCGAAACTACTCAGCCCTTCAAAGGTCCGTGTGAATAATACAACCAGCTTTCCCAAAACGTTGAATTAGTGGTAAAGAGTTATCAGCACATCCAGTCAGAAACGGGTATGATAAATTTTCCTTTCGACACAATTTCTATCACCCAATAGGCTACCCACACTACTGTCACTTCACGACCATTATGGTATTTTCATGTTCCAAATTTACTTTCGTCCAATGTTCGTACACCTCAGAGCAAAAAAAAATCCAGTTCACGAGTTTCAAAAGACACATCCAAGTTTTCTTCAGCGTTTCGTTGAGTAAAGCGTTTCCCTATGAACGCAATACAAAATAAAAAAAAATTCTTTCATGCCAATATGGGTAATTTGTCCAACCAAGTGTCCTTAAACACGGAAACAGTTAAACCACATAGTTTTAATCTTTCCCCCCCGATTTTGCGTCTTTTCGTACAATATTAAATGTGTGTACAGTACTTCACAATAATGACAGTCTACCTCACACTTTGGGCACTTTAAGGAAATAAACAATACTCCATGGACATTGTAAATGAAATAGCAGCGGTGTAATTGTTCCAAAACAACTTAAAAAATGGTTTCCCGCTCAAGAAGGAAAACACCCGCGACCCCGTGACCAGACGAAGACATACTGACACCGATTTTCGTAACGAAAACCAAGGTGTGCGTAGATGTATCACCTGATAGAATGCCTTACCATGATTAGTTGAAGATTTCAGATTTGCCCCGAGGGGGCTAGTTTATTGGGCACCTCCTTACATCCTGTGCAAGGTGAAGCGCAGAAGCGTTTACAGAGCCCAACAGGGAAGTATGAAAAGTTCATACTTGCCTTTATGACTCGTATATTAAGGGTGTAAAAGCCTGAAGGCTGACAGCCTACAGCGAATGAGGGTGCGCCAAGTAGACCTGCATGGTTAATTAGGGTGCACCAAGTCAGTAGACTTGCATCCTTTTCCATCGTAAATAAAATGGTTAATTAATGCCTTCCTAAAGAAACCATCGACATGGGACCAGGTTTGTTCCACTCTACGAATTTTTTGCGATTTTTCCACCAAGTTTGATGAAAAACGATTGTGCCGTTTCTGCTGCCCAGAACAGACACACACACGGCTATTCCTATAGCATATTAGATATAATTGCTGACTGTGTGATGGATATATTATACGAATTTATTGCTTAAGATAAATTATGCAGTGGATAGTCATCTTAGTTGTTGGCACACACACACACACACACACACACACACACACCCACACACACGTGATCTACATGCTGAGACTGAGAAGTGATAAGAGATAAGATCAAGAGAAACCTGGAGATATTATTGATTCTTATTCCCCATCAGTCGACTTAGCATATTGGAGATACTAAGATGTTGAAGGTCAGTGTTAATGATATTGTTACAAATGAGAGAGAGAGAGAGAGAGAGAGAGAGAGAGAGAGAGAGACTTGCTAACCAATGTCTTTCAAGGTGGGGAAATTCCTCTGACGATCACGCCAAATAAACCTAACCTAACTTAACTTAACCTAAAACATCGTACTCAAGTGGTTAAGACATCGTACTCAAGTGGTTAAGACATCGTACTCAAGTGGTTAAAATATCGTACTCAAGTGGTTAAGACATCGTACTCAAGTGGTTAAGACATCGTACTCAAGTGGTTAAGACATTGTACTCAAGTGGTTAAGACATCGTACTCAAGTGGTTAAGACATCGTACTCAAGTGGTTAAGACATCGTACTCAAGTGGTTTATCGTACTCAAGTGGTTAAGACATCGTACTCAAGTGGTTAAGACATCGTACTCAAGTGGTTAAGACATCGTACTCAAGTGGTTAAGACATTGTACTCAAGTGGTTAAGACATCGTACTCAAGTGGTTAAGACATCGTACTCAAGTGGTTAAGACATCGTACTCAAGTGGTTAAAATATCGTACTCAAGTGGTTAAGACATCGTACTCAAGTGGTTAAGACATCGTACTCAAGTGGTTAAGACATCGTACTCAAGTGGTTAAGACATTGGGTTAAGACATCGTACTCAAGTGGTTAAGACATCGTACTCAAGTGGTTAAGACATCGTACTCAAGTGGTTAAGACATCGTACTCAAGTGGTTAAGACATCGTACTCAAGTGGTTAAGACATCGTACTCAAGTGGTTAAGACATCGAAGTGGTTAAGACATCGTACTCAAGTGGTTAAGACATCGTACTCAAGTGGTTAAAATATCGTACTCTTGTTTTTGTTGTTGTTGTTGTTGATGTTTTCGTTGTTGTTCTGGTCCCTTTGTTTTTGTTGTAATTATTGATGTTGTTGTTTTTGTTGTTGCTGATGTTGTTGTTCTTGTTGTTGTTGTCCTCGTCCCGTTGTTGTCATTGTTGTTATTGTTGTTATTGTCCTGGTCCTCCTGCCAGGGTTCACGAACTAACCTACAAACTGAGAGAACTTTTTCACCAGTCTAAATTAATTTTCATTTCCTAATCATCAGGGTCTCGTGTCGGTCGTGACTGGCGGTGCTTCAGGTCTGGGTCGAGCCACTGTGGAGAGGATCGTCCGTGAAGGTGGCCGGGCTGTGATCTGTGACCTGCCTACCTCACAGGGTGCTAAGGTGGCAGAAGAAATAGGGGACTCTGTTATCTTTGTACCAACTGATGTAAGTATCTTGACTACCTCTCTTTGTTCTTATTGTCTCTCTGTTGTATGTCTCCCTGTCTCTCATTTTTTGAGGGGGGGGGGGGATATTTTTTTGTATGCTACATCTCTGCTGATTCAAACTTCTCCATATGCCTCATCTCTGACTCAAAACTTTCCACCTTTAAGCTGATTCAATACTTTCCACCTATAAGCTGACTCAAAACTTTCCATTCTTAAGCTGACTCAAAACTTTCCACACCCCAAATCTCTGACTCAAAACTTTCTACCTTCACCTCTGACTCAAAACTTTCCATTCTTAAGCTGACTCAGAACTTTCCACTCCTAACCTGACTCACAACTTTCTACCTTCATCCCTGACTCAAATCTTCCCGCCTCCATATAATAACTCTCAGACATTGGACTTGACAGGTGTCCTCAGCGGGGGACGTGGAAGCTGCCCTGGCACTCTGTAAGGACAAATTTGGTGGTCTTCATGTGGCTGTCAACTGCGCCGGGATTGGCTTGGCTGTCAAGACCTACAACCACAACAAGAAGGTCTCTCACTCCTTAGATGACTTCATGAGGGTACAGAAGGTAGATGTTGGTGATTTTACTCTGTTAATGTTGATGATAACAATGATAACAACAACAACAACAACAACAACAACAACAACAATACTAATAATAATAATAATAATAATAATAATACGTCGTCAATTTCCGCAGGTTAATTTGGGAGGAGCTTTCAATATGATCCGCCTTTCCGCTGCTTTGATCGCTGAGAACGAGCCTAACGTGGATGGTGAGCGTGGGGTCATTATAAACACTGCCAGCATTGCTGCCTTCGATGGTAGGATAGGACAAGCGGCGTACGCGGCTAGTAAGGGAGCCATAATAGGCATGACCCTACCTATTGCCAGGGATTTGAGCCCCCTGGGTATACGTGTGTGTACCATCGCCCCAGGTGAGAGAGAGAGAGAGAGAGAGAGAGAGAGAGAGAGAGAGAGAGAGAGAGAGAGAGAGAGAGAGAGATTTTACAATAATTATTTCCTTTTAACCCAAAATATACTCACACATTTTTACCAAGTTTATCCACCACCTCCTTCCTCTTCCTCACCAAGCTCATCAATTAATCTTCTTCCACTTCTTCACCAGGATTGTTCAGGACGCCCCTCATGCTAGCACTGCCCCAGAAGGTGTTAAGCTTCCTGGAGAAAATGACACCGTTTCCTCAGCGTCTTGGTGATCCAGACGAATACGCCAAGATGGTGCAAGAGATTATCACCAACCCTATGATGAACGGTTCTACCATACGCCTCGATGGTGCCATACGTCTTGCACCATAAACTGC